AGATAGGGAAAATAGAGCCAACCTCTTGCCATAGAAGCAGAGAGCCCAAGAGACAAATTTTGGAATGTGCAGAGATCTTTGGAAGAAAGAAGCACTCACACACTTCCAATGTCAACTCTATCATTGCTCTTTTTGCTGAGTGCTAGGCAAGCATCTTACCTTTGTATGATCTCTGACCTTTTATTTTGCTAAGTGGATCCCCATATGCACACACTCAAGTTCAAACAGCCAACGAGAATTCATCATCCATTCTCATAACTACAATGAATCAGACTTTAAATTTGATCTGTAATAGCCAAGAAAATACAATAGCTTAGCAACATAGAAAAATAAATATTTTGTATGAGGGAATTACCTCATTCATTCCTTATCATCTGGGTAAGATATCATCGTCTATCCACTCACTCCTTAACATTCTTTTTAATGTTTTATTTTTAATGATAGCTTAAGTTTTTTTTTTTTAGAAATTCCTAAATGTGTAGGAAAGTTTTAAAATGAATGAAAGAAGAGGCCAGAGAGATAAGGCCAATCAAGGTTTGATCCCTGACACTTCTGTGGTCCCATGAGCTCAGCCAGGTGTGACCCCTGAGCACAGAACAAGGAGTAAGACCTGAGCACTGTTGGATGTGGCTTCAAAACATAACAATGAGAAAAAAGGTGAACTAAGGAGAATGTAAGGTGGTAGTTGACACAGAGCTCATGTTCTGGGATAATGCAGCAAGTTAATTCCTCTGTAAATCATCTGAGAAGTTCCTCAGAAAAGCAAACACAGGGATTTGGAGAGTGGCTGAGTGACTAAAAGCCTTGCAAGCATGTGGCCATGATTTCTATCTCTGGTCCTCGATGGCCAGGGTCCCCCAGCTCCATCACATGTGTGATCCAGGCACAGTCACATATGTGCTAGCACAGCCACTAAAGATATGTAACCACTGCAGCCAGGAGTGTGACCTCACAAGTTCCCAAACTTGCACTCACTGTGTGACTCCCAATAAGTGTCACATCCAAATGTGTGGACCTCACAGCCACCCATGTATAACACTGGTCACTGTAGCACCTACAAAGAGGTAACCCACCAAATGCACAATTTCTATCTAACTCAGGAATTGAATCTTGGGTCTATGTTCGAAAGAAATGGAAACAGAGGTTGATACAGAAATAGAGGTTGACACAGATATTTATAGCAGCATGATTCACAATAGCCAGAATATAATGTCCAGCAATGGATGAATGGATGAACAGAATGTTCATATTCATTAGATGGAATATTTAACCAGTCACAAAAGTAATGAAGTTTTGATTCATACTCCACAGGATAAACATAGGAAATACTACTCTGGGGTAGCTGTGCACCAAAACCATTAAAAGTTAACACTACTGCAACCATGTTCCTTAATTATAATAAAAGTATGATGTTAAAAGAAAGAGACATGTGATTCCATTTATATGAAAGAACCACACTGGCCCCTTCCTTAGAGTCAGAGAGTGGCTACATTTTTCTCTAATGATGAAATAATTTTTAAGGTAAATATTGGTGATATCTGCACCACCCTGAGGTTAGAGTAAAAGTACTAGATGTATCTTTGCTAAGGATAAATTTAATGCTGTGTAGGTCATGTTTCAATAGTGGAAAAAATGTAGGACTATAGAAATAAAACAAGAGTTAAGGCACTTGCGTTGCATGCACCTAAGTGTAGTTTAGCTCCCATCACCACACATTCCTGAGTACCACCAAGAATGATCCTTGAGCACAGCACCAAGAGTAGACTTTGCTGGGTGTGGCCCCCCAAAAGAAAAAAAAAAAGAAACAGGAAGTACAAATAAATTCTTTTCATGATAAAGCATTCCTATATAATAGAAGGTCTGAAGGTGGTGTTTCGTATTTCTTCATTCTGCAGATGTTACTTACCAGTCATTGGCCTTTGCAGCTGTGGGCACCTGAGTAAGACACTGTGGGCCTTCGGTGTCATTTCTTTTATCCAGAATCATTTTGGGTGATAATATTATCTTTAATAAGACTTCTTTTCTCTTTTTCTTTTAAAAAGGTAAATAATGACCAACTATTACATTTGTCTTGAGTTTTTATATCATCACACATGATGGATCTGTTTGGATAGTGTAGGTGCATATTTGTTAGGCTTTTATTCCCCCTGAACATCATGTTTGTTGAGATATCATTTACTCTCAGTCTAATTCACCCTTGAAGGATTCCAATTCTATGAATGTTTTTGAAATCTCACTGTCTGTATCACAGCATCATTGATATATAAATGATTCCCATATGTGTTTTCTACCTGAAGTGTTCTCTGGCCTACCTTTAAAGTAACTTCTTCTCCTAATGTCCTGCACCCATGCCCTGACACTTCTTCCATCTAATTTGGGCTCTGTGAGCACTCAGTTCCTGTTTTGCATTCTCATGATTCCTCCCTCCCCCACTTCTCCAAGAAAAATCTTTCTAGGAAGGACTCTCTTTTGTATCCCTATATTGGTATCTGGCATCTAAAGATACTTAATCAATAAGAACTGAATAAATGACTAAATTGCTTGGCCTTTAGATTCTCCAAAATTATATTAGTCTCCTCTCTGATTTATAGGCTATTGATCATGAGAGAATATTTTTCTTAGAGTTTGAATTTGCACAGTCTTTTAGAAAAATGAGGTCTGTTGATTTTCAGCTTTGGAGATTTTGCTAAACACTCTGGATTTCTAGATTTCGAACTACAGTTTTGCTTAACCAGCATGCGGGCCTCTACCCTATTGATCTGAATAAATAGGTGAAAACAATAAAATAAAAAGACTGATCACAACCACTGTCCTGCCACACTCCCTCACATATCTAATTCTGTCACTTCCCATGAGATGTGACCCAGAGTCTCATCTAGAGCTCCCAAGAACAAGTTTTAGGACATTTCAGACTCACCCTAAGAATAGCTACAAGACTGAATCCTGACATCTGTTTGAGTCGGACCTAAACTTTTCTTATCATTCAGGGCATGACTCCATGAAAACTTACCAGAAACTGATTCTTTGGTGACCCTTAGATTCTCTTTCCATCCTGATATGATCCTCTTCTGCCTGATGTGAATCAAAAAGTGGACATTTCCAGGGACACATGAATGAACAAAACTTCTGCTAGCCTCACCTATTATATGAGATGGCCCTGTCTTCAAAGAGTATTTGAAAGGTGTGAGTCCTCCAGACTGCCTACCTTGTGCCAGAATGGAACTGTGTGTACTTTCTTTGGGCTGAGATCCTTTGGTGTGCTCTCTGCCCGACTAGCTAATCGCCAGCTTCTCAGGTACCACGGAAGCCCACATTAGCTCTGAGTAAGCCACTTTTAACTCTGCATCCAAATAAAACTTCATTGCTTTATATATATATATAGAGAGAGAGAGTATGGGGAATATTGTCTTCCATGGAGGCAGTGGGAGGGTGGGAAAGGTGGGGGTACACTGGGAATATTGTTGGTGGGGAATGTTCACTGGTGGAAGGATGGGTGTTTGATCATTGTGTGTTGTAACTCAAACATGAAAGCTTGTGACTATATCTCATGGTGAATCAATAAAACTAAAAAAAAAAACTCATTGCTTTTTCCTTCCATTAGCTCAATACCTTGCTTCCTTTGTGCCTTAGAGCAGATGTGTTTGAGGACAGTTCCTGCAAGTGTCACAGCCTTCAAAGTGTGAGCTCTGATATAGCGGTGAGGTTCAGTCACGACTGCTAAGAACCCAAACAAACCAGGAAAAAGATAACTGAATGGGTCAGTGAACATGCTTTGCAAGTAGGAGGCCAAGATTCCATCCCAGGCCAACACAGCCCCCCACCATGCTGGGTGTGGCCTCTAAATCAAAACAACCTAACTGAACCCAAATAAGAAACACTAAAAAGATGGCAATTAGGCAGTGTTGTGGGGGGGAGGTGTGAGGGGGGAAGGTGGGGGAGTCCAAACCTGGCAGTGATCAGTGGCTACACAGCTCGGTGCTGGGAGACGGGTTACATTTCTGCAGTGCCAGAATTCAATCAAGGCCTGCATATGCCCAGGGTCACTGACCAAAGGTATGAATTTTTTTTTTCTTTTTGGGTCACACCCGGCCATGCACAGGGGTTACGTCTGGCTCATGCACTCAGGAATTACTCCTGGCAGTGGTGGGGAGACCATATGGGATGCTGGGAATTGAACCCGGGTCGCTTGCATGCAAGGCAAAAGTCCTACCCGCTGTGTTATTGCTAGAGCTCCAAAGGTATTAATTTCGGATGTGTTTTTGACCCCTTAGACAGACTAGCTGTTACTAAACTAAAGGGGATCTAAAAACACCACTTTCTGGTATAATTACAGATGGAGTGTAAACCCGGGACCTGGACATGGGTACGCTTCAGAAAAAGAGAAAAATGGAAGGAAGAAAAATAGCAGGGGTCAAAGTATAGGGAAACAGTTTCATGGTGATCTTCTAGAGGTAAACTATCTTGGTTCTTTCTCACCTTGGTAAAAAATATATGTTATAACTTCAGGACCGAGATTACACACACACACACACACACACACACACACACACGGTCTCCAACCAATACCCGGTTTTCACGCAAATGAGCAAGATTGCACAAGCAAACGAGCAAGACTGAGCAGTTTACGAAACTTAAAAACTCAAGGACAGAACTCGAAGATTTAGACAATTATAACAACTTGTATTTGAAATTGAAAAAATCTCAGTAAAAAAGGATCACAATAAAATGAATTAGGAATTTAAAATTAAATAGAACGTAAAACGGTTCCGGCTAGGTCTGTGTGTGTTTGGGGTGTTTGGGGAGGTGGGTGGCGGAGATGGGCACACCCTGAGCGGCCAGAACCCCCTCCCCAGGTCGGCTTTTCCGGGCTCCAGTCCAGGCTGCGGCCCCGCCCACGCCGGCCGCGGGCACAGCGGGTCCGCCCCGCGCGGGGGAGGAGGCCCGGCGCACCTTTGACTCCACCCACAGCTCCACCGCGGTGGCCGCGGTGGTTCGGCGGTTCGGGTCGCGGTGCGGGGCGCGGGATGGAGGCGGACTCGGAGAACAGTGTGGCCGCCTGGTGGGACATGGTGGTGAGGAACCTGAGGTGAGTGCTAGGGGATGGGTGCGGGAGGAGTGATGTGGAAAGCCTTGGCATGAGGACTCCAGGCTTGGGGAGGTCCTGGGGCCCTTCTGGAAAGCCTGGCCTTGGCCTTATCCCTTAGCCTGGTGAAGTAACCTTGCGAATTTGATTTTCCAGGAACTTTTGTAGCCCTTTGGGGCTTCCAAAATAGAAGCCAAGATGAGCTGCTCTGATCATTTGGTTTAGCAGCTGCTTAGCCAAGTTGTCACGAATACATCCAAAATTAACATCTCCGGGGTGGGTGACCCTGGGCACATGCGAGACTTTGACTGAATCCTGGCAGGAATCCAACCCACCTTCCTAGCCCTGAGCCTGACCCTGTGTGTAGACTCTGGGCACTGCCAGGTGTGCTTACCACCTTCCTGCCACACACACCATCACTGCCCAATTGCCATCATGTTGGTGTTTCTTGTTTTGGGTTGGGGGGGGGGGGCGATCACACCCAGCCATGGTTAGGAGACCATGTAGACCAAGCCTCTTGTATCAAAGCATGCACCCCAGCCTGTTGAGTTGCCTCTCTGTCGAGGTTTGTTTGGGTTCTTAGCCATCTATGACTGATGTAAAACATAGGAATAGTGGTGATATTAGGGATCTGTGTGGTAATCTTGGCCATCTTCCTCTGAGTCTGTGCCTGTGGCACTCACTGCTTGCAGAGAACACGCCTCACCATGTGAGAGACGCCCGCTGGGTGCTGAAATTAGAAGCTGGAATTGCCTGTGCCGGGTTTGTGAATTGTTTAAATCTGACAGGTCTGGGTCAGGGTATTTTTAAAAAAGAATTTTCCTCCACCCATCTTTAGCTTAAGCAGTAGTCAGTCATTTTGGAAGAGGTGAGGAGTGGGTAGTGTTGAATCACCCCTGGAGGTGTTCAGAACTTACTCCTAGTTTTGTGCTCAGGAATCACTCTTGGTTTTGTGTTCAGAGATCATTCCTGGCGGCGCTAAGGAACCAAAGATGGTACTGGAGACCAGACTGAGATCTACTGCATGCTACCTTACTATCTCTGAGGCCCTTACATCCTAAACCAAAGGGATCAGCTAGCAATGTATACACTGCCAGCCCTCTTTGCATGCACTCCAGTTATGGTTGGAGGTTCCTGACCCAGGAGAGTCAGGTATCCTATTTGTTTTGATGGCAGGAAGGTATTCACATTCTTGTTTTCTATGTGTCTTCTTGTGTTTAATTTTTACTCATTACATAATATCCAAGAATCACTTTCTGACACAAGAGAAGGACCGTCTGAGTGGTGAAGCTAAGTGCAGTCTTCTCTCTTCTGTGTCTTCTCTATAGCTCAGTGTCCTGGGCCAAGCAGGCCAAGAGAAGCTCCCGTCCACCAGCCAGGGCAGCTTCACAGCACCTTCTGAGTGAGTCTGGACCCATTCAGAACATCTTGATTGGCAGCACCTCTCACATTTGAGATTCTGGGACCCTTTCCTCCCTGACACAGTGGTTCTGGGAGAGCTGGCTGCACCCCTTTCTTTCATGCTCTATGTAGAGTCAATGGCAGGTTATTTAACACTGATTTGGTGGTGAAAGCATTTAATGGGCAGAGAATCAAAGCAGCACTGGGGAGCTTCAGAGAACCATCCACATCATTCATTTGGAGAGAAATATAGGGAGTTTGGAGCCCTCTCTCACTTGACTTGCTAAGAAATAATGTCTCTAAGAGATGTTACATGAGAGGATAAAATGTATTTCTTCATCTGAGAAGAAACTTGTGAGTCTTGTTTTTTGTTGTTGCTAGTTTCTGTTTTAGTATCATACCTGGTGGTCCTCAGGGACTGCTCTGGTCCGGTCTGGGTGCTTGAGTGTCACTCCTGGCAGTACTCAGGGGACCATGTGGCATGAGGCATTGAATCCAAACTTCCTACGTCCAGAACTTGTGCTCCCATCCTTTGCACTATTGCTCTGGTCCCTTAATCTGGCTTATAACATGCAGAGGCCAAGGCATAGTTGGATCCAGGATACTTTAGATCAAAAAGAAATACACGGAGAGCTTGCTGTGTACCTGGAACTTACCAAATTGTGTTGTGAAGGTAAAGGAGAATGTTTTGCTATATGACTTTTCAGAGATTAGTTTTTTTCTGCATTGGGAATCTACTTATTGTGAAAAATTTCATCTCAGGGAGCTGTTAAAGACAAATGATACTAAAACAGTATATAGCTTCTTGCAACTGGCTTACTTGTGAAAATGGAAGCTGTGCCCAGTGGTGGAGATAACAGGGTAGTTTGGGCTTCCTTTCTCCCAAGTTCACCCCTATTTGACATTTCTAGATGTTGTATAGAAATTATCAGTAGGCAGGTTGATAAAGTTGTTCATTCTTTCTTCAGTATTGTTAGAAACCTATTGGGCCCCAGTGTAGGCCCTGAGCATAACACAGGAAATAAAAGTCAGTGAAATCAAACCAGAACAAAAGCCCTGCCCATATGGAACTGCCATAAATTTATTTTCAGCTATAATTTTTTTTTAAAAAAAGAGAGAATGAAGCTTTTCACCAAAACTAATAATATGCATCATTACTTTCTTCCCATGTGAAAGAAATACCCTTTACCTGCCACTTCTCAACCTGTTTCTCAAGAAATGTTTATGGGGTCCAGCATTGCAAACAGAGTTGAATGTCAGTGAAGTATTTTATGGCAGGTGGAAGACGGGATAAGCAGTGGGGACACAATCAGAGAAAGATTTAGAGTCAAACTGAGGCTTGACTCTCATTAGTGGGTGGCGGAGAAGGAGAGGAAAGGTCATCAAGGGAAGATCTGTCTAGAATGACTTTGACAAAGAAGGGACTCTCTAGGAGTTTGAGGGAAGCGGAAGATTTATTTGGGAGGAGAGAAGGGAGGAGAACACAAATGTAACATGGTAATTGGTGCTACGGGCTTGCTGGCTGGATGAATGGAGATGTGGAAGATGAATACATAGCATAACTTTTCTGTTTGCTTTTTAAAGTCATGCCCAGCAGTGCTCAAGAATGACTCCTGATTCTGTGCTTGAATGTAGATCCTGGTATGGTGCTCAGGCCATGGGACCATACGGGTGCCAGGAATCCATCCCAGAATTCTCACATAATAAGCATGGGCTACAGTCCCCTGAGATAGCGCTCTGGTTCATGGGTAGCCTGGCTTCATACGTGTAATAGTTGTCAGAGGTGGCCAGATGGGTCTTCCCAAAGCTGGTACCTGCTAGCATGGAGATAACTTGCAGGGGTGATTCTCCCTGGAGCAGAGCAGGCTTCATGGTGAGGCCTCCGGTTCAGATCTGAGTCTCCTGCAGGATGCTCTGCAGCTAAAGCCACAGCTGATCAAAGGACAGGCAAGTGAAGAGTGGAGGATCCAGGGGGTGTTTGATGTGGCTGGCTGTTGGCGGGGAGGGGTTTGAAGCAGCAGCCTCTGCTCAAATAAGATCTCTCAGCCACGGGTGACTTTTGATCCCTTGCTGATGTGGGGGAAGCTAGATTGACAACCCCCACCTTCAAAGAAGCTGATGTGCATTATTGATGCCGAGGGGCCTGGGTACCCTGCTCTCTCCCTGCAGCTTCTTACAAAAATGCCTTGAGCAATCAGAGAGAAGGGTCCTGTATGAATTATTCTTTAAAAACAGAAATGTGTTTCCCGTGACCACCTCTGCTTCCCAGGCACCCTGCTACCTTCAAAAGGGAACTTAGCGGGAGACTAACAGACAGGGTAGTTGAGTTCAAAGAGTCGGAGAGAAGCAGGTGGGAGCCTGTAAGCATGGAAGGACTGGAAGCGAGCCCGAGATTTCAGACGGTGTCAGATCTGCGCGTTGTGACTTGATCTGCGACTCAAAGTGATGGCTCTGTATTTTCATTTCTCTTTTCTGAAACCAGAATAACAATGTCATCTCCATCCTACCACCTTCACGGAGTTGATTTTCAAGTCACGAAAGAATCATTTTCATTTCATTCTTGCTGATTTTCAGAGCAGGCAATTGCCCATTTCAGATGTCTTTGAGGAGCTCAGCCCAAGTATCATCCTTGCAAAATGGCTGGAAACTCATCAGAGGTGATCTCCCTTTGTGCCTTTTCCGAACTAGCTGCTCTCATTTTAGAAATATGACACTTAAAGGAAAATGAACTTTTTCAAGGTTTTTCTTTGCTTCCTCAGAAGGTTCCTGAGCTATAGGAACAGAAAGGAGAACATGTGAGAGGGACTTTGAGAAGGAGCAAGGGTGTGGGAAGGGAGCCTAAAACAACTTTGTCTAGGAGCTGACTCTGGCTGGAAGCCAGCATGCTTGTCTACATGCAGAGATGGCCAGTGTAACACACCAGGACTGTGGCAGTCCATGAAAGATGAGGTGCTTTGGGACCAGGCAGGCCTGGGCACACGTGTAGGATAACATTGGTTTGTCCTTTCTGCCTTGCCGCAGGGAGCTTAGGTTTATTGGGTTTCTCCCATCACAGTGCTCCCATTCTTCTGTTTTTATTTGTAACCTCTTTCTTTGTGCTCTGTTAAATTGTAAGTATTGCCTTTTCTTTTCTCCTTAAGTTCTTTGCATAGTTAATTCAGAGCAATGTCTTTTTTGTATGAACACAAGAAGACAGTTAATGCTATGCTTTTGTAACTGGGGAGTTAATTGACTCTGAACTATAATTCAGTCCTGGGCATCTGTTCTCTCAACTTAAGCCTCAGTTGCTCATACTTCCTAGCACCCCAAAAAGCAGGGGCCCGACAGGGGCTAGATGGACCCAGAGCAAGCAGTGAGCTACCCTGGAATCGAAATGGGCCTGACCAAAGTGCCATAATGCTTAACTATAAGTTAAGAACATGGTCATGGACAAATTATGTCATGATCTAAAAGTAATAACTAGATTTGGACCCTGATAGGGTTAGGAATGATTAATCTGGCCTGAGCACTGTAGTCTGAGTCTGTGGCGAGAGTTCCCCCGGAGAGCCACCATACAAGCTCAATGTAGCTCTTACTGTGTCCATACGAAATAACTAATATTAAGAAGTAGAATTAAGATGTTAATATGTTAATTAAGTTATTGGACTAAGGAAAGGAGAAAAATATTTTTTGTTTTTTAATTTTTTTTTATTAGTGAAACACCATGAGGTACAGTTATAGACTTACAGATTTTTGTGCTTGGGTTTCAGTTATACAATGATCAACTACTCATCCCTCCACCAGCGCCCATCCTCCACCACCACGGGTCCCAGCATCCCTCCCACCCTCCATCCCCCCATCCCACCCTGCTTCTGTGGCAGGGCATTCCCTTTTGTTCTCTCTGGAGAGAACTCCTTTTGGGTCCTGTGGTTTGCAAGAGAGGCATTGAGTGGCAATCATGTTTGGTCTATAGTCTACTTTCAGCATGCTTCTCCCACCCTGGGAGGATCCTCCCAACACCCTTTATTTGGTGCTCTCTTCTCTATCTGAGCTTCCTTTTCCCCTAGCACGTGTGGCTGGCCTCCAAATCATGGAGCAAAATTCCTGAGGAAAGGAGAAAAATATCTTAAGTGATATTTTGCCCGTGAGGTTTTCTTATATTGATTTTGTTATCACAAGGTGTGTGGGGGCTACCCCCTATGTGGGGAGTTGGAGAGAGAGAGAGAGAGAGAGAGAGAGAGAGAGAGAGAGAGAGAGAGACCTGGGCAGCAAGGTGGTTCGGAAAGACTAGCAAGGGGGATAGAAGGAGAAGAATGTAGGGGAAGAATTCAGGAGCAGGCGCATGGAGAGATGAGGGACATAGCTATTAGAGGGAGCACAGAGAGATGAGTGGGAGAAACAGGAATAGATGGGAATGAGGGGCAGTGTGAGACTAGAATGGGGAGCTTAGTGAGACTGGAACAGATGCGTGGGGAGAAAGGAATAAATGGCAACTGATCATTAACCAGCTTGGCCCTCACTTCCTCCTTTGTCCTCCCATGCATCGGCCGTCCCGCGTCCTGGGGTGGGCGAGTGACCTGAGTCCACCGAATGTGGGTGTTAAGAGGGAGAGCCGCTGGGGCTTTCCATAGCTGCCTGGAGATTACATACACATGTGACTTCGATGGTCTTGAAAAGTTTATTAAACTTTTTTGGGGGGTGGGGGTTAACAAATGGTGCTTTAGAGGTCCAGGGACCCCTCCCAGCTATTTAGCCAGCTATGCTAGCTGTTCAGATCTAGGACCTGAGGATGTGGGCCTGCCCTGTGGTGCTGGGGGTAATCCATGCTACGGAGTTGGGGGAAATGTCCTAAAGCTGTACCTGGGGGCAGGGCTGCACTCCAGGGCTGCACCCTGCGATGTTTGGGGGACCAGCAGTGCCAGGGATCAAACTAAGATGTAGACACATGCAAGGAATGTTCCTCAAATCCTGTATTGTCTTTCTGAACCCAGATACTTAATTTTCAATCTCATATCCTCACACCAAAGTAATTCAAATTCTCTTCTAAAATGCTTCTGGTTTAGCACAGAAATAGGACCAGGAGATTAGCTGATCAAAAAATGCTTTCCAGTGGGTGGAATGATAGTACAGCAGGTAGGGCACTTGCTTTGAACATGGCTGAACCAGGTTCCATCCCTGGTACCTCATATGGTCTCATGAGTACTGCCAGGAGTAATTCCTGAGTATTGAGCCAAGAGTATGACCTGAGCATCACCAGGTATGGCCCAGAAGCAAAAACAAAAGCAACAACAAAAAACTTCCCATCCAGTCCTCATCCTCATGATTTGGTTTATATCCAGCAGTTCTCACATCAACTCCTTACAGTAAGAAAAGGAATTGGGCTGTGTGTGTGTAATGTGTGTGTGTGGGGAAGGGGGATTTGTGTTGGACTGCACCTGTGACTCTCAGGGTTTACTCCTAACTCTGAGCTCAGGAATCATTCCTGATGGGGCTCAGAGGACCATGTGTAGTGTCAGAGATCAAACTTAGGTCATCAATTACATGCAACGCAGGCACCCTACCCATTGTACTATCTTTCTAGACCCAGGGAGGGATTTTAAAATTAAATTAGATTTTTTAAAAAAATTGGGGCTATACCTAGCCATGCTCTGGGCATACTTCTGATTCAGTGCTCAGGGATTGCTCAGGGGAACATGCAGTGCTGTGGATAGACTTCAGTCCCCTGACACTCAAAACATAACCATAACCCTTTGCGCTATTTCTCCAGCCCCATGTATTTGATCTTATTTGATATTTTGGTTTTTGTTTTAAATAAATGATGTGGACAAAACTCAGAAGCAGGAAATGGTGACACTCACCTCTTACATCCTGTTTTCTCAAAAGTTAGACACCTCAGCTCTCATGGGCAATGTGACTGGTATGACTGATCCCACAGGAACAAATCCTTTCTTGTCTGCTGATGCTTCTGGTGGGATGATTTGGATCAAGAGGAATCAGTAAGTTATGCACTGACTGTCATGTCCCATGTTCAAGCCCAGACCTGTTGTTGCTGACCTCCAGGTTCTCCTCTTCCTTGATTAGCCCCTCATGGTCTCTCTCCTCTGGGGTTGGCATCAGAGGGAGGTTCTTATTTCCGTAGTTCATTTCTTGCTGAGACTCAGCCAGAGGAGTGGGGATCTGGTGAAAAAGGCTCATTGTGATAGACAAGTGATGGAGAAGCAATAGTGCTGGCTTTGGCTTGCTGATGGCTTGTGGAACCAGCTTGGCTGTCAGTGAGGCTACTTGATGGGAACAAGCCTGGTGCCTCTATGGGCTCCCTCTTCCTCTGACCTCTTAGTCCTACTGCTCACTAGCTGGTTGGTTTGGGGTTCCTGCCTTAGTGCTGCTCTCACCAACTCTCCCTGAGTATCCAGTCTTGAATGTGCCCTAGTTACATATCTTTCTTTAAAGGATTCTGTTGACAGGCCAGAGATAGTACAGGAATTAGGGCACTTGCTTTGCATGCATACAACTCTGATTTGATATGGGACATTGCTTATGGTCCCTTGAGTGTTGCCTGGAGTGATCCCTAAGCACCAAGACAGAAGTAAGTCCTGAGCATTACTCATGTGGCCTCTAAACAAACAAACAAAATAACAAGGGATTTTGTTGAAATAAAAGTTACTTATAATTTTTAGGTCTTTGAAAGTTTAATTGGACATTAAGAGCAAAAATACACCAAGTTAAAACTTGGACTGCTTGTGAATACCATGTTTACTTCATAATATCTTGCAGATCTTGCCCACACTCCTGTTCAGCACTTGGAAGAAAAATTGCTTGTCTATACAACGACTTTACCAGTAAATCATTAAAAGACCGTATTTTCCCTCCTCTCATGGAAATGCTAATTTTTTTTAACTTTTGTAAGTATTCTTCTTCATGAGTTTGTCTGTATATAGAGTTATAATATATATATATATATATAAACAATATATATACAAATAATGAATTTCTCACCCTCAAAGCTGTGAAAATGATACATCTGCTTTAAAAGTGTGGCTGTAGTTACATGGTCTGAAATCTAGTTAATATTGACTTGGGGTGTAGCATGAATTTTGACAAACATCTGGGGACAAAGAAACATGGTCTTGTGGGTAAGATTTTAATTGAGAGCCTCACTTTTCAAATTAGCTGTTAATATGAATATCTCACTATCCACTATATCCTGTCCCTTTTCCTTTTTCTTCTTGCATATGGGTGGGGGGTGAGGGTGGGAAGAACCTGGTGAGAGGCTGTATTTAGCACAGTTTTGCTTATGGAGACTGCATTAGTCAATATTTTCCGCAGTCATGACATGCAATAACCTTCTTTCTACAAGCCACCATCTTTATACAGACCATGTACTCTTCATGGCTTCTGGCTAATGCTTGGGTGCTACTCAGTAAAAAACACAATGCTTAACTTCAGTAGAAAAACACTGACAACTCTCTTCTAAATACTCTTACCTTCTCAGAGGAACTTTCTCTGCATTTAGCTAGAGACAAGGAGAAGGATAGTTAAACTCTGCTCTGAGCTCCCACATTGGTGCTGTTTTAAAATCTACCTTTAGGGACTAGAGGAATAGTACAGAGATTAAGGTGCTTGTGCCATGCATGAGGCCAAACCTAATTTGATCCCTGGTATTCTTGAACACTACCAGGAGTGGTCCTTGAGCAAAGAGCCAGGATTAAGTCCTGCTACTGCTCCTCCTTTCTCCAAAAAAGAACCTACCTTTAGATCTAGATGGGGGCCAAGACTTCTAGGAATATATATATGTATATGCATATATATGAATAAATATAAATATACGATTTTGTGTGTGATTAAAAACAAATTGATTTTGTTTTTAATTTACTAATGATTTCTACTTTCCAGTCAAAGCACCATTTCTTGTGGATTTAAAAAAACCAGAGTTAATCATTCCTCACACAGTGAACTTCTATATCAAGTGTCGGCCCAAGGTGATTCTGGGAATCTGGTGAGTGCAATGCTGGGAGGGGTTCCTTTGCTGGTGGTGTGCTTTTTCCTGTCTGGGGGCTAGTGTGAGTAGGGCTGTTACTTGCCTTTGGAGAGGAGGATATTCCTTATAGGCACCTGGAAACTGGTTCAGACACCTTCTTTCATGATGGAGAATGAAATCTTTTAGGCTTTGCTCTGTGCTTTGGGTCCCTTCGCTTTATCTGGGGAACTGGACTGGCCCTTCACCTACCTCTTTCTCTACTACCCATGTCCTGCCCCTGGCCAGCCCCACCACTCACCTTGCCTTCCATATCTTGCCTACATACATATGCTTGCTTTGTGAGCCTTCCTTCTTCCTCTCTGATCTTTCCATTTCTTCCCCCTCCTTTTTTTTTTTCAGTGTTGGTGATTGAACCTCACACATGCTTGGGATAACCTGTACCACAAAGCTACATTCTCTATTCTCCTCTGTTCCCTTTTCTCATTAGCTCCCTGCATAGTTATCTTGGGGGTCTGAATTTTATAATTTCAGAGAAACCTTTTCTCACACCCGCTGTATTAAGCACATGATTAGACAATCTGTGCTGCCTTCCGAGCATTTATTCCCACCGTAATGAATGCTGACGTGCTGATTTGTCTCATGTTTTGTAGGAGTGAGACTGGATAGGTTTCCATTAGCACAGTGCTTGGTGAATGAAAAGTGCTGGAAACATCCTTGTCATAGGAAACTGGGATTATTCTCACCCCATATCTCTATTTTCTGTTTGGGTTCTGCTATTTCTTTGGCTGCCAGAGTACTGATGTATATTTTATCTCTCTGACTTTAAATGTGTTCATAGTATGTTTAGGGATGAATGGAGACTCATGTAATGTCTTCCTAGCCTGTAAGGGCTACTTCAGCTAACAATGTTGGAATTTGGTGACATTTTCTTTTCTCTTTCTTTTTCTCTTTCTTTTTCTCCTGGCTCATGCACTCAGGAATTACTCCTGGAGGTGCTAGGGGAACCATATGGGATGCTGGGTCGGCCGCGTGTAAGGCAAATGCCCTACCTGCTATGCTATCGCTCCAGCCCTCAATTGGTGACATTTTTATTCTTTGCTCTTGCTGCATGTGTCCTTGGTTAGTGAGTTACCTTCTCTTGCTTGTTGTAGGCTTGACTTGCTGAGAGTGGAGCTTGCCTTCTCAGGGCAGAGCCCTGCACTTTGGTGTCAGGCTTTCTGCTCCTGCCCTTTTATAATCAAGAGGATTCCAGGCTTCTTACCCCATAGCCAATTCTCCAAATTCCCTGTGACATGGTAGGGAATTTAGAGTCTGTATTATCAGTGTTCACTGCTAGAACCTGGGAGTACAGACAGGTGCCTAAAAAAAATCACAAGGTCACTGGGCTTAGAGACAGCATAGTGTGTACAGCGCTTCTCTTGCATGGGCTGACCCTAGCTCAGTCCTCAGCACCCCATATGGTCTCTTGATCACCGGAATAATCCCTAAACATAGAGCCAGAAGTAACCCTTGAGGACCACTGGGTGTGCCCTTACCCCTTTCCACAATCACCAAACTACAAGTCACTGGGTTTCTTGACTAGAGTAGCATAGGCTTCATGTTTAAGTTTTTTCTCCTGGAGATTAAAATTTTCCTGGCAATTCCTCCCAACTTATCTCTTCATTAAAACCAACATCAGGTAGAAAATATCCACCACCACCTTTTCACTTGTTTCCACCTAGTGGGCTGCATTTTAAATCAGTCACATCTAAAGATTGCTCTTTGTAGAGCAAGAGGTGCATGAGTCAGGTGTCAAAGAGGGTGTCTCTGTCGGGGGAAGGTGAGGTAGGGCAGTGGTGGTCTTCATTATAAAAGATTTGATATATTTGAATTTTACCATGTATATACTTTCAGAGGAGAAGATAGATACATTTTACATATACATATATTATATAGAATAAATGCACAAATACATCATTGTAATAAATATATACCATATAGAATAAATACATAACACTATAACGATGTATTATGATATTTATAATTCATACGCTTTACACAGAAAGCATGTATTTTCTATTTATAAAGTGATATATTTTGTAAGAATGATACCAGTTTGTTAGAATGATGTTCAATAGAATAAGACGAGATGTTAAATATGTACTGTGTACGTGCTCACCTCGGGCTGATGTGAGAAGAGATTCGAGTGATGGTGGGAACAGAGTTCTCCAAGTGCGTGTTTACTCAAGCCTCCCCTGTTCTGCAGGCACACAGTTCCCAGCTGCCGTGGGGAAGATGCGAAGGGCAAGGACCGTTGCTGGTACGAAATGGCCCTCCAGGACGGCAACCCCATCATTGTTTACCTTCACGGCAGTGCGGAACACAGGTCAGTGTCCTTGCTGGACTCTCTCGGGCAGAGTGTACAGCCCATTAGATGCACAGGCCGGCTCAGTACTCAGCTCGGCACTTGTGTCTCCACCTACTCTTTCCCCCTTTGTTCAAACAGAAGGATGTTTGGCAACAAACTCTACCCTCTGTGTAGGCCACTAGGGGCCTAAACTGAGATGGAGATTTTTTTCCAGATTTGGACATTGATTTCAAAGACCACAGTGGGTATGAACTACTGGCTCCCGGTGCTGGAAAGAGACAGATGGAGGGAAAAGGAAGGTCCCTATCTGGTCTCTTCATGAACCTGGGCAAACATTGCTTAGTTTAGTGTGAATCTTATGACCTGAAGGCAGAGACTTCCTCAGAGAGAGCACCCTGAATTTGGACCCTGCACAGGGCCTGTCTTATGCTAATAGAACTGGACTCCTCAGCCCACACTATTGTCCTGAGCTTGTTTGTTGATAAGGAACACCTTCCTTGTCTGGCTGTCCTTTGATGTGCTGCTAGCAGCGCCTTCAGAGAGGTCTGTGGTATGAGTTGTGTCATGCCCGTGAGTGACTGTGCCCATAGCTGGGGGTGGGTGTGTGGGTGGGTGGTGCTGACACCATGCACCTTTCTCTATCTCTCAGGAACCCTTCCAACTCAGTGCCCTGCCCTCACTCCCTCACCCTGTGTCTTTTCCTCGCTGCCTTTTCCCCTTTACAGAACAGCCTTCTCTAACTACAGAGGCTTTTTCTGAGCAGAGTTGCATTTCACATTGTCCAGCGTTCTCCACATTGTTCTCATTGTGCATGTTAGGCTTGGTGTGAGATCTCTCACAGAAGGATGGTGTCCCTCTGAACCTGCAAATGCTGTTAACCCAGTTGAATCAATTCAGTTTGCTCTGTGATCCCAACTCTGACTCCAGGGTTGACTTCTGCTTCTTTCTGTCCCCTGCATGGAAATATCAGCTCAGCATTGAGCCCAAAGCTGTTGATTCTAGATGCCCCTAGAGATCCTTGAATCCTCTTCTTAAAAATTGTGCTTAAAATTTGAAGTGTTCAATGCCTTTTCAGCAGGTCTGATTTGGGGGTGTAAACTCTAAATAACAATGGTGCATCTTTTGTCGGGGCTGGAGCAATAGCACAGTGGTAGGGCATTTGCCTTGCACGCAGCCAACATGGCCGACCCGAGTTCGATTCCTCCGCCCCTCTCGGAGAGCCCGGCAAGCTACCGAGAGTATCTCGCCCGCACGGCAGAGCCTGGCAAGATCCCCGTGACGTATTCAATATGCCAAACACAGTAACAACAAGTCTTATATGGAGAAGTTACTGGGCCAGCTTGAGCAAATCGATGAACAACGGGAGGACTGTGACCGTGATCTTTTGTCGCAACAGTGAATCTAATCAAAGTAGATAGAGTGTTAACTAGAGTTCATCTCACAGGCATTGGGAGTGTTTGGGAGGGGGGGTATATTGGGGTTCTTGGTGGTGAAAAGTAAGTACTGGTGAAGGGAAATATGTTTGATGATTGCATGACCGAGACTTAAACCTGAAAACTTTGTAACTTTTCCCACAGTGATTCAATAAATAAATAAAAATAAAATAAAATTAAAAAATAAACCTAAAAAAATCGAAGCGTTCATACGTCTTCCCCCTGTGACGTTGGTCTATAGCTTTAATCACAGAGGACTCCAGGTTTAAGAAACTGCACTCCCAAACAAAATTCAAATGATTTTTAAAGAATTCCATGCCTTGGGAATCATCTTGGGCTCTCTTGGACTGTGTGAGTGTGTGTGTGTGTGTGTGTGTGTGTGTGTGTGTGTGTGTGTGATACAGAGCAAACAAGACGCTTATTTTGCAGAAATCTGTCTTTTGGTCCTCAGGACTGAGACTCCCATTTGACCCTCTTTTCATGGAGGTCAGAGCCAGGCAATTATGGTGAACATAATTGTTGAATCCTTTGTTCAGAAAATACACTTTTCTGGAATATTTTTCTTGAACTTTGAAAAGCATTCTTAGAAGTAAGTTTTGTTGGGAGAAGGGAAGGGAGATGGATTTTGAGTTCTTGACTTGGCACCTATACTGAAAGCATGAAGAGTGCTCTCTGCACATTCGGGTGCGTTGGAGGACAGCTGCCCACTAGATCATTCTCCCAACACAGCCAAGCAGTTCTGGCACTAGAACCAGAGTCCTTTCTCCCAGCTGTTTGTTTCTCCAAGCTGAGAAGAAAGGCATGAGATTAGATGCCAGAGGCTTGGCAGTGATTTTTATTGAACTTTTCATCATAATGTCTAATGCTTGCTCTCCCTCTTTTTCTTTTTTTAAATCTTTATAGGGCAGCACCACACAGAATTAAGCTGGTAAAGGTATGTCTGAGGGGGCCTCAAAATTACTGTTTTGAGTTCCTCTTCCACTCTGGGGCTCTGTTAACTCAAAGATAGTTGTCTAATGAACATTCTATGAAGCATTTGTGAGATCTGGGGTTCACTATAGGACTATACTGTCTGCACAGACATGGGGGATCTGTGCACATCCCTGAGGTCCCCCAAAAACTTCCATGAGTGTATTAACAGTGTCTTCAGAGTTAAAGACGCTTTTATTTACTTCTTCTGAGGACTGGAGGATGGGTGGGCTGAGAGTAGATGAAGGGCAAGTATTACTCTGGACAAAACCATTCTGAGATAGAAGAGAATGCCCTAGAATGATAACGCTAAGTAAGACACCTTTTATACAGAACAAAGGAAGTGGCTCATGCCTTGGTGCCAGCACCATTGGAGATTTGGCAGAGATGGATGGCAGCCACATGTTATGCTTCTTACTCACCAGTCACGTGATTTCAGCTTGTGGGGGCAGCCCCTGCAGTTCCAACTGTGAGGAAGATGGCAGATGAGGCATTCGGTCTTATCTGACTCAGCTGTTTATCTCGTCCCACGCTCATTAGGTAACCAAAGCGCAGGTGACTAGGCTGCTTGTCCAATTAGTAACTACAGACCTATCTCTCTTTCCATAAGTCAGCTCCTACCTGGGAGCTCTTTCCTGATTTGATGACATCATAGATCCAGGATTCACCCTGTCTAATATACCCAGACCTTTATCTTCCCTCTTCATTCAGACAGGCAGCCCCTCCGCTTGCTTCTCCTCTTCTCCCCTCATACCTGCCTTTGCAAGAACAGCAGAGCCCAGTCATGAGGAATTGCAGTGGGCAGGTGCTGCTTTGCCTGTATCATTCCCCTTACCCAAATTTGCTTTATACCCCAAGCCCCTCTTTCAGTGATTCCCCTCTTTCAGTGGGGACATAGTAAAGCTGAGGTCTGTGGGAACATGAAGTTTTTGCCCCTTCCACTCTTGGCCAACTAGAATATCTTTTCCACAATGTGCTCTGGAAGAAGAGTGAAGCAGCTGTGAAAACAGCCAGAGTTCTTATCATGGTAGTTGGGATGGATGAGGAGGGATGCTTGGACCTCTTCCCATCTCTGAAAATTCTGTAGAATTGGTCATTTTCTTTCATCAGGACCAAACTTCTTTTGCTTTGGATTTTCTTCTTTGTATAAATGATTTCTTAAAAACATTTTTTTGTTTTGTTTTGGGGCCACCGTTTGGTGACCCTTTGGCGTTACCCGTGGAGATAATCTCAGTGATTGATCCTGGTCAGTGAACCATGTGAGTCCAGGGCTCCTGCACACAAAGCATTGACAGTATCACTTTGAGCAATCTCCTCTGCTTGTGGCTCAGTTTCTTAATCTGTAAAGCAGGAGGGCTAGAGAGATAGAAAAAGTACTTGCTGTGCATGCAGTCAACCCATGTTGGTCCCTTGTATCGCATATGCTAGGAGTAGTCTCTGAGCACAAAGCCAGGAGTAAACCCTTAGCACTGCTGGATGTGGTCCCCAAATAAACAAAACTAAAACCAAAATTAATAGGAATAAGGAATGATACTTTATATAACTATAATGAGGATGAAATAGTTTTAAAAAGTGCTTTCATAGCAACTTTTTGTTCTTTTTTGTTTTATTTTTTAGTCACATCCAATGATGTTCAGGAGTTGCTCCTGGCTCTGCCCTCAGGAATTACTCTTGGAGGTGCTCAGGGGACCACATGGTATGCTGGGGAACAAAGCTAGGTCATCCACGTACAAGGGAAAAATGCCTTACCACCGAGTCCTACATTCTCATATTCTTTCCTTGTTTACCTACTCAGGGCTTCGCAGGGGTCTTCTATAATGGAAAGATCGCTTTATTTCTGAATCTCTTTAATTGATAGAGGTTAATCAATCTACTAATATCAGTAGCTGACTGATGTTCATTTTTCACTTGTTAATATGTCTTTCTGTTATTTGCTTCCCACTACTCTAGATGTGACTCTAGATGTGTAGAGTTCTTATTCTCAAAGGAATTCTTTTTTTTTTTTATTTTTTTCCCCCTTTATTTTATTTTATTTTTTTAAAGTTGTAGATTTACAATTTTTTGTGCTTTGGTTTCAATTATACAATGATCAGATACCCATCCCTCCACCAGTGCCCATTTTCCACCACCATGGATAATATCCCTCCCACCCCCATCCCCCCACCCCCCCTGTCTCTGTGGCAGGGCAATCCCCTGTGTTCTCTCTCTCCTTTTGGGTGTTGTGGTCTGCAAAAGAGGCATTGAGTGGCAAACATGTTCAGTCCATAGTCTACTTTCGACATGCATCTCCCCTCCTGGGAGGATCCTCCAAACATACTTTATTTGGTGCTCCCTTATCTATCTGAACTGCCCTTTCCTCTAGGATACCTGGCTGGCCTCTAAGTTATGGAGTAATCCTCCTGGTGCTGATCTCAGCTATTCTTGGGTATTAATCTCATACTTTGTTACTTTATATCCCCCAGATGAATGCAATCTTTCTATGTCTATCCCTCTCTTTCTGACTCATTTCGCTTAGCATGATACTTTCCATATTGTACCACTTGTATGTAAATTTCATGACTTCATCTTTTCTAACAGCTACATAGTACTCCATTGTGTAGATGTACCAAAGTTTCTTTAACCAGTCATCTGTTCTTGGGCATTCAGGTTTCTTCCAGTTTCTGGCTATTGTAAAGAGCGCTGCAATGAACAAACAAGTGCAGATGTCACTTCGACTATACATTTTTGCCTCTCTGGGATATATTCCCAGGAGTGGTATTGCTGGGTCAAATGGGAGCTCAATTTCTAATTTTTTGAGAATCGTCCATACTGTTTTCCAGAAGGGCTGAACCAGTGGACATTCCCACCAACAGTGAAGGAGTGTCCCTTTCTCGCCACATCCACGCCAGCATCGGTTGCTTTTGTTCTTTTGGATGTGGGCCAGTCTCTGAGGTGTGAGATGGTATCTCATTGTGGTTTTGATCTGCATCTCCCTGATGATTAATGATGTAGAGCATTTTCTCATGTGCTTTTTTGCCATTCGGATTTCTTCTTTGAGAAAGTTTCTGTTCATTTCATTGCCCCATTTTTGGATGGGGTTGGATGTTTTATTCTTGTGGAGTTTAACCAGTATTCTGTATATCCTGGATATCAACCCCTTGTCAGATGTGTATTCGGTGAATATCCTTTCCCATTCTGTAGACTGTCTTTGTATTTTGGTCACTGTTTCTTTGGAGGTGCAGAAGCTTCTTAGTTTAAGATAGTCCCATTTATCTATCTCTGTTTTCACTTGCTCGGCCAGTGGCGTGGCATCTTTGAAGATACCATTAGCTTCAATGTCATGGAGGGTTTTGCCAACTTTATTTTCAATGTACCTTATGGTTTCTGGTCTGATGTTGAGGTCTTTAATCCATTTTGATCTTACTTTTGTACATGGTGTTAGGCAGAGTTCTGAGCCTATTTTTTTGCAGGTAGCCGTCCAGTGATGCCAACACAATTTATTAAAGAGGCTTTCCTTACTCCACTTCACATTACTTGCACCTTTATCAAAGATTAGATGAGCATATGATTGAGGAGAGATGTCAGTGTATTCAACCCTGTTCCATTGGTCTGCAGTTCTGCCTTTGTTCCAGTACCATGCTGTTTTAATTATTACTGCTTTGTAGTACAGTTTGAAGTTCGGGAGGTTGATTCCTCCCATTTTCTTTTTCCCAAGAACTGCTTTAGCTATTCGTGGGGGCTTATTGTTCCATATAAATTTCAAGAGTGTTTGCTCCATTTCTTTGAAGAATGTCATGGGTATCCTTATAGGGATTGCATTGAATTTATACAATGCTTTCGGTAGTATTGCCATTTTGACAATGTTAAGTCTCCCGACCCATGAGCAGGGGATATCTTTCCATTTCCTCATGTCCTCTTTTATTTCCTGAAGTAGCGTTTTGTAGTTTTCTTTGTACAGGTCCTTTACTTCCTTAGTTAAGCTGATTCCTAGGTACTTGATTTTCTGGGGCACAATTGTGAATGGGATTGTTTTTTTCATGTTGCTTTCTTCTCTCTCACTGTTTGCGTATAGGAAAGCCATGGACTTTTGGGTATTGATTTTATAACCTGCAACTTTACTATACGAGTCTATTGTTTCTAGGAGTTTTTTGGTGGAAGTTATTGGGTTCTCTAAGTAGAGTATCATATCATCTGCGAATAGTGAGAGCTTGATTTCTTCCTTTCCTACCTGAATGCCCTTAATATCTTTTTCCTGCCTAATCGCTATTGCAAGTACTTCCAGTACTATATTGAACAGCAGTGGAGAGAGTGGGCATCCCTGTCTCGTCCCTGATCTTAGAGGGAAGGCTCTCAGTTTTTCCCCATTCTCAAAGGAATTCTTAAGAAAGATATTTACTGTGTAATTAGATGCTTTCATATGTCATTGCATCTAACAAGAGAATCCTGAATTCTCCAAGAATCGTGAAAGTAGATATGGTTGCTTCTCACTTTTGAGAATAATATTTCCATATTTGACCAGCAAGTAACTTGCTCAAGGCCTCCCAGCTGGTTAGGTGACAGATTCAGGGTCTTAGCTGGTTGAATGTTTATTTTCCCCCTTTCCAATTTAGTCTCATCATTTTAGACTTTTCAAGTCTGAAATTAGACATCAGACTTCATGAAGGTCTTTTCTCTGCCTGTTAAGCCATTACTTCTAGGGTCTATGGTGGTGTGAGGAAGTGTGAAAAATTTTTTGGTATCTCTCCTAACTAAAGTGGTGACCATTCCCTTCTCAGGTGCTGAGTGATGGTGGTTTTCATGTTTTGTCTGTTGACTACAGAGGTATGTGTTACAACAGTGCACGAAGATTTTTCAAGAAGTGCGGAACTTCTGGTGGCCCCTTATTCTGACAGTTAGTGATCCTCTGTTTGCTTCACTGTTAGGGTTTGGGGACTCTACAGGTAAACCCACAGAGGAGGGGCTGACAGAAGATGCCATTTGTGTCTATGAGTGGACTAAAGCAAGATGCGGTGCCACTCCTGTGTGTCTCTGGGGGCACTCTCTGGGGACAGGGTAAGTGAGGTTGGGAAATGGGTATGTAGGTGGATCTTGGGGGTTTAGTGTCACTTAAAGGCAGCTGTGGACAGTGGCAGGAGCACTGAGCTCAGAGAGAGGAAGTGCTTCATTCACTGTCTCCACATGTGACTGGGGACCTTGGCGTCTCGATGTGCCTGTCTCTCCATCCACTGTTATCTATGGCATGGTGGCTCTCTGGCTATCTGTGAGATTTCCCATTCCAGAATTCTCCTGAGAGTTGCAAAGAAAAACAATTCCTTAACTTAGGACCAGTGCATTGTTTCTCTATGCAGTTTTTAATCAGAGAGTCCAGAACTGTAATCATTTGCTCCTGTTACTAAATAATGTTCGTTTTGTAATTAACTGCTTCATTTCATACTCATATTTTCATTGCGTTACAGAGTTGCAATAAATGCTGCAAGAGTGTTCGAAGAGAAAGGTACCTTATCTTTGCTTTAGTAGAATTTGAAGTAGAATTTCTTGGCTTAAGGCAGGAAAGTAAAAAATCTAGAGATTTGTGCATACTTTGAACACAGCACTACTAAAGTGTCCCCAACTTTAGACAGTTTCTGATAATGCAGCCAACTTTCTATTTTTATACTTGTTATAAAACAGCAGCTGCTTTTCAAGATCATGAAGTTGAAAAGAAATACCAAGGAAATAGTTAAAAGTATCTCCAAGAGACCCTGATTGTGAAGGGATAATAAACGTTATTATAGAGTAATTTGGGTTACATGAGAAGAAAATAATACATTATGAAACAGGAGGCAAGATTTCCTTCTGCTATTCTCCTTAAATGATATTTATGTCAGTGTTTCTCAAAATGTTTGGAAAATTGCCTAGATGAGAATCTCCTGGATGAAGGGAGTGGGGGAGGTGCACGTTAACGAAACCGCCTTCTGGAGACTAAATATTTTTATGGATCAGAATCTTTGTGACAGGACCCAGTGATTTTGATGTGCTTGAAAAGTTTATAATCCTTTGTATTGTAGCCTAAATTTTATTTGGAAATGGCAGGTCAGGCTGTTATGTACACATTGCACATTTTAAAGATAAATACTGGCTAGATTCAGTCTTAATTACTTAATGGAAATGAATTGAACACTATTTTAATGCTCCTCTAGATTCTTGCACACCTCCTCCAGAGTGTGAACAATTCTGCAACAATTTAACTAATATGTACTTCACTTCTGGGAAACGCAATCACCATAGAACAGGCTGGAGTGATAGCACAGCTGCAGGCGTTTGCCTTGCAGGCAGCCAACATGGCCGACCCGAGTTCGATTCCTCCGCCCCTCTCGGAGAGCCCGGCAAGCTACCGAGAGTATCTCGCCCGCACAGCAGAGCCTGGCAAGCTCCCCGTGACGTATTTGATATGCCAAACACAGCAACAACAAAGTCTCCGATGGAGATGTTACTGGGCCTGCTAGAGCAAATCGACGAACAATGGGAGGGCCTTTATTTTATAGAACAGCTCAGTTCCATTTACATCTCCAGTTTATGTGCTATCTCGTGTTTCAGTTTTCTCTGTATCACATATTCCATAAAATATTAATATCATATCACAAAGCCAATATTTAGATTTATGCTTTTATTTGCTATTTATGACTTTTAGCATTTCTGTGGACTTCCATATGGGAATTTTGTTCTGTCTATTGATGAATAATTTTCCTACTTTTGGTCTGAAAATATCTTAATTTCATCTTTAGTTTTGAAGACATTTTTATTGGATCTGAGGTTTTAGGTTGCTAATTTTATTTCAACTCTTTGAAGATCCATCCACTTTGTTCTAATGTCTTCTGTCTTGTTTCTGTTGCCAGTATTACTGTTGCTTTGAAGATAACACTTTTCTTCTGACTTTTTGGGACAGATTTTCTTTTTATCCTTGTTTTCTAGCATTTTAACTGTGTGGGTTCTTAGAATGTCCTTCTTAGCACTAGCTGCTCCAATGTATCTTGTGTGGGGTTTAGGACTTTTAATAAACATCAGACTTGATTTTTTAAATTCATGTTATTTATATGCAAGTCCTCAAGGACTCTTTATTTCAGGATGGTTGTTTTTAAACAGGAAAGGGGAGTTATTCCTTTCTCTTATTTTCAAGGATGCCCAGTTGATGCTATCGTCTTGGAAGCTCCATTTACCAACATGTGGGTCACAACTATTAATTATCCTTTGTTAAAGGTGAGTCTCTGAGTCACCTTCCCAACATGGCATCATGTGAGCCATTTCAACATGCTAAAGTTTATTATCCATGCTATTTTTATTACCTATTTTTATATTTGTAAGTTATGAACCAGTTGTTATTCAGGGGAACCACCATAGCTCTGATTTGATAGTCCTTTTATTTCCTTCTAATAGATTCAGTGACTTATTAAGAATTAGTTTTTCCCCCCATTAACCAAACATCTTATTTTTTATAATCTTAGATGGACTCAGATACTGATACTATAATTTATTTCTCAGGTGTAAACCAGTGTTTCTTAGACTGGCGGACACTCTCACGCAGTGGGGTTCTGGAACTTACAACCCAGGGTACAGTTGTGAGTAGTTGCTCTGTGGATCCTTTTTTCTTGCAAATAGACTATAGCCAGTACAGGAACCTCTGGCAAACCTCTCATACATCAGTTCTGGGGACTCCCAGGGCCATATCTGACAGTGCTGAGGGGCCATAAGGTGCCAGGATTGAACTCAGGGCCTTGTGCATGCCAGGCATGCTTTATGTCACTTGAGTTACCACCCGCCCCCAGACCTGTTTTTAAAACAGCAATAAAATTCTCCACATCTCTCAGTTACTGATTTAAAAATTTTATTTCTCCCACCCCTTTGTTGTGGTAGGAGGTGACACACTTTGTGGTGCTTGCACAGTTGGTTGTGGTACATAGGAGACCACATACTTTGTTGTGCTTCTGTGGACCCCAAAGAGCAGAACTGCTGGGGTTGTATTTGAGCAAATACCAGGTGATAGGGATGGAAGTTGTGACCTCATTGGCCTCAGGCTTGCAAGGCCAGCATTTTTGCCACACAGGGCCTTGGGCTAATTACTTCTCATGCCTGAACTACTTCTTTTTTAAGATGGGGGTGCTAATGGTTGTGAAATTAAATGGCTTAATATATGCAAAACATGAACTATGTATATTATCAGCAGAGTGAAATAACTGCTCAGTATGGTTGGATAAGAAGCTACCTGTACTGGGGTCTAGAGAGAAAGCTTTTGGGTTAAGCACATGCTTTGAATTCAGGAGGGCCTGGCCCCATTTTGTACTGTTTGCTCCCCCCCCCCCCCCCCCCGCCACCCTGCCCCAGCACTTTGGGATCAACCCCCAAGCACAGAGACGGGTACCTTCCCAACACCAATGGAATGGTCCAAACCAAACCAAATCAAAGCAGAAGCTATGCTACCTAGCTGGGGAGAATAGAAATACACGGAGAATTTAAAATAATGACAATGTTTCTCACATGTCATTCTGGAATCAATTTCATTAGAATAGGGTAGAAGGCATGATATGATGGGAGAAAAGTAAGGGTTACGGAACTAGATGGATTTGGGTTCATACTTGACCTTTGCCTCCAACCAATAATGTTTTCGCATTTTTAAAAAATAATAACAAAATCGATACTGCCTAGTGCATGGATTGTGATGAAGGTTCTAGCACTGTCTTAGCACTGTCCTCCCGTTGTTCATCGATTTGCTCGAGCAGGCACCAGTAGTGTCTCCATTGTAAGACTGGTTGTTGCTGTTTTTGGCATATCGAATATGTCACAGGGAGCTTGCCAGGCCCTGCTGTGCTGGCGGGATACTCTGGGTAGCTTGCTGGGCTCTTCAAGAAGGACTGAGGAATCAAACCCTGGTCGGCCACATGCAAAGCAAATGCCTTACCTGCTGTGCTATTAAGTGAAATAATCCATGCAAAGTACTCAGTTGCTAATAGGCACTCATTTAATGCTTGATCCCCTTTCCTCTTTCTGATACTGTCACTGTCACTGTCACTGTCCTCCCGTTGTTCATCTATTTGCTCGAGCGGGCCCAGTAACGTCTCCATTGGAGACTTTGTTGTTACAGAACAAATAAATGTCAGTGTTAGGGGAACACTCAGAACTATAATTTTTGGGTGAATAAAATTCAGGAGAGAGGTATTCCACAGAGGTGTGGTCAGTAACTCTTAGAGGCTGATGCACCCCAGCTCCTTTCTTTCTTCTTCAGGTCGCGGGTTGCCTCCAAGTGAGTTTTAAGGGTCTGGGGCTATTCCCAGTGGTACTTGATAATCTGGGTTGGACAATTCAATGGTCAGGCCCAGTGAGGCAGTGCTACTTGGGCCACGAGGAAACCCTGGAGGTACTCAGGGTGGCCTGTGTTACCAAGGTTTAAACTCATGCACCTGACCCTTGAACTGTCCATCCTTCTCCCTCTCCCCTCCCCCAAACACATACACCAAGATCCTTCTTTTTTTTCTTTTTGGGTCACACCTGGCGATGCACAGGAGTTACTCCTGGTTCATACACTCATGTATTACTCCTGGGGGTGCTCAGGGGACCATATGGGATGCTGGGAATCGAACCCAGGTTGGCTGTGTGCAAGGGAAATGCCCTACCCACTGTGCTATCACTCCAGCCCCCAAGCTCCTTTCTTAAAGGTGAGTGAAAACAGGAAATGCTGGAGGTCATCAGTGCCAAGAATGAGACCATCACTTGAACCACATCTGGTCCTTTTACATCCTCTGCGCAACTCTGGCATCCTTGTCTCATTCAGAGCAGAGGGAAAAGAAGGTTAGAGACCTGCAGGGTTGTCCTACACCCTCTAAGAGGAAATGGGTCTCACTCCTACATCTGCTAACTCCAGGCAGACAGACTTGTAGGCAGGCAGCTTTAGGAATGCAAGAGTGTGACCAGCTGTGGATGAACTTTCGGTCAAGTCTGAAGTCTTGATTTTTTGGTTGTTTTTCAAGTAAATAATGTGGTTCTCCCAATACTTTGTAACATCAGTCTTTATGTGACTGGTATTTGGGGATATTTACCTGCTGGTATTCCAGACCAGAGAAGAAGCAGGGAGACATTAATTAGGACCCAGCACAGTGGTCGGGGTGGAGAGGAATGGGAGGACCTTAAAGTCTCTAGGTCTTTGTCTGGTAAGCCCTGAAGATTGACTTGAGTAGGTGGATGGGGGCTGCTTCCCTCTTACTCTTTAGGAATATAAGATGAACTGCTAAAGGGCTTCTCTTGTTGGAATATCCTCAGAGGAGGCTGATTTTAGAAGTGGTGACGTCAGAAAAGAAAGGAAAAAGAAAACCAAATAAAAAATCTTGCCTATAGATGGCAAGAGGAGAGAAAAGAAAGGAAAGGAAAGGAAAGCAGTATTGGTGTGTCCCCCCCCCCCCCCCCCTGCTGCACCCAAATGCCAGGCATTTGCTGTGAGGCCCAATGAGAAATCGATCCAGGTTTGAGCTTCCTGAAACTCTCAGTTTTAACAGTACTGTGACATGTTGTCTTCTGATTCTATTTTCCTGACCTTTCTTTACAATGCCACAAATTAATTTTAAAAAATCAGGGGAAATATTTTCTTGCGCTTTATTTTAGAAAGGCTGTGTTTTAGAGGCTTTGTTTTAGAAAGTTGTTCTTTCTTAGTATTATAGTTCCTAATGGGTGACTATAACCTATGACCTAGCCCTGGGTGGAAGCCCCTTTTATTGGTTTTGTTTTGACTTGTTTTGGGGCCGACCTGGTAGTGCTCAGGACTTACTGCTGATTCTGCACCCCTGGAGCGGCTAAGGGTACTAAATGTGGTGCCAGGGATTGAACCCCATTCTGGTGTGTGCAAGGCAAGTGTCTAGCCTTGCGGTACCATCTCTCTAGCCCTATGGCCATTAACTTTTATTTCTCCATACTCATTAAGAAGTCTCAACCTAAGAATAATCTTAAAATTGCTTTTTCAATAAATAGAAACCTTCCCTTCCTCACCCCCCCCCCCCCCCCCCGTATGTGGCTCCATTTTTCCTCTTCAGTTTTCATTTCCTTCCTTTGGCAACATCTCATTTGGAACACTGCATCTCCCTCCCCCATTTTCAGCAGCAACAACAGAGAAATCTAATATTTTGTCTTTTCTCTTTGTAGAATGAGACCAGTTGTAATTACTGGTTTCATTCAGAATAAAATCTGAATGAAAGTATTGTCACACTACATTGAACAATAATAAGTTGAATAAAATAGCTTAAAGTGTACATCAGAGATATCAGTACAATAATTCAACTTAGATTCTACATTTAGTAATTCATGTTCATGCTTAGTCAATGTTATTGCATTGGTAACAGCTTCTGTGAATAGTATAGGGAATAAGAAAGTTGTGGTCCATCCTTTTAGGATATTTTCAGGCTTGCAGGAGAGAGAGAAGAAAGGAATACAAGTTTCAGTAGTGTGAGGTGCTGTGAAGTCTAATAAAATAACGTGAAAGGGGTTGGCCGGATGGACGGGTTTGATCGCTGGATATGGAAGCCTTTCTGAGAAGTTGCTGTGCTGAGACTTGTATGACCAGAAACCAGCTGTCCTGAGAGTACATTGAGGTCTCTGGCTGAGGGAGCAGCAGGGCAGGAGCCCGGGGATGGGTCAAGCCTGATATGTTCCAGGAACAGAAGGCGGCGGGTTCTGACATGTCTGGACAGTGGCTAAGTAATAACGAGGTGAGGCTGGAGATAGAGAGCTGCTAGATTCTTTGGGACCTCAAAGGCAACGTGACCTTAAGGTCTTATTCACATGTCCATGAAGAATGTGAAGCAAAAAAGTGATATGATGGGAGTTGTACCAGTGGGAAGATAGGACAGCCAGAGAACCAGAGCCACTTAGATTAGCAGAATCTGAGCAGGAGAGGAAGGGTGAGCTAGGCTGACTGACTGATCATGCTAATAGAAATGAGTGGATCTGGAATGTCATTTGGGGGTTGAGTTAAAAATGCTGACACTGGAGGTGGGTGTGGTGTTGGAACTCTGTATGCCTGAAACTTTTAATATTAACAGTAAATCATGGTGTAAAACTGAAAAAATTGACCCCCTTTCAAAAAGATGTAAAGACATTGTATCATTTCTTTTAAGGAAATGTATGTTTTTAAGATATATAAACTAATTTCCCTATTGTCTTAATGAAAATATGGTAAATACTCATTTAGCTAGAATTTAGTTACTGGAATTTGCCATTAGAGGAATTCAGCTTGTTTAGAATGATAACTTATTTTTAAGGCTTATGATCAATGAGCCTTATGATCACTGATAAAACCTAAATGCCTTTCAAAGAATTACAATCTTAGTCATGCTGTACAGAATACATAATGTTCAGATCCTATAAAAGCAATTATACATATTTATCAGAATATTTTGTTTGTTTTTGGGTGACACTCAGCAGTGCTTGGGATTTACTCTGGGCTCTGCACTTAGAGATCCTCACTCTAGCCCTCATTAGAATTTTTGAATGATCAAAATATTCTGCTTCCAAAATAATCTAAGTAAGTAGTTAATTTTGTTCACTTTAGAAACAACTTTTGAATTATACATATCTCTAATCCTTTTCAACTATAGGAAAGGAGTAAAAACAGAATGTTAACAATGATCATCTGTGGATGATGAGATTGTATTTAATTTGTTTCTTCTTTGTTCCTTTTTGTATTTTCCAAATTCCTCATCATGGCACAGATTACGTTAAAAAAATCATAAAAGTTTTGATCCAAAATTTTTAGTTAGGTTACTACATTCTATATGACTGCAGCTCATAGTGGAAAACTATAAAAATTACTTAGCTGTCGTTTAAGCTTTAATATTTTTTTCATTGTTAAAAACAGATATACCGGAATCTTCCAGGATTCTTACGCATGCTTATGGATGCTCTGAGAAAAGATAAAATATCCTTTGCTAATGATGAAAAGTAAGTTAATGGTGAAAAGATGTCCATGATCATTTTATCTCTGGAATTCTGGTGGGTAACATGGAACATATTAGATGGGTAGGTAAGTCAGTTGTCCTTAGATGCATACTAAGATTTGGGGTGAGGTAACTATGCGTTATTAGTATTTGACAATTTCCTGTTTAATTCAGTGACTTCACTAATTGAATACTTTTTCTGAAGTCATAAAATCAGTTGTAGATTTGGGGCCTATCAGGGCTTTTAAAGTTCCTCTAAGTCTATCTCAACATTCTTGGAGAAATCCCTGAATTTTAGGCTTTCCCCCCATTTAATACAAACCTATCAGCATCCTTTAGCCACCTCACCCAGTAGCAAGTCTATGACTAGACTTGGCAAGTGTGCCTCTCACTAATGACTTCTCTTGCAGGAGAACCAGTATTTTATTATAATTATAGTTGAGGTAAAATGTTTATAATAGCGATAATGTTTATGATCTTGATGTACATTTATTGCACCTTCCCAATCCACAAAGTGCCCAATACCCTTCACCAATGTCCTTATGTTACTTCTAGCTCACTTCTTCATTCCCCACCCACTGCCCTCCTACTTAGCAATTTCAGTTTTGTAATCCAAGGATGGGAACTTATCTATTTCCTTGTTTTATTTTCTATGTAATACAAATAAGTGAGATCATTCAGTATTTGTCCTTCTTACTCTAATTTCTAATATCTTCTTCCTCTTTATATTATATACATATATGTATATATTGTATATACATATATGTATATATTGTATATATATGTATATATAGATATCTGTAAATATCACTGTATCACTGTCATCCTGTTGATCATCGAATTACTCGAGCGGGAGCCAGTAACATCTCTATTCCTCCCAGCCCTGAGATTTTAGCAGACTCTTCTTACTTGTCTTTTCCAATGATTGGAGGCTCTTTCAGGGTCAGGGGAATGAGTCCTGTTGTCATTAATGTATTTGGCATATCGAATACGCCATGGGGAGCTTGCCAGGCTCTGCCCGTGCAGGTGGGATACTCTCGGTAGCTTGCCGGGCTCTCTGAGAGGCATATATTTATATATTTCTCTCTATTATTAGTAGATATAGTATATAGTTATATGTATATATAGTATATATAGTTATAAATATATCTCACAGATTTCTATACATATATGCTCAGGGATCATTCCTGGAGGTGTTTGAGGAACTGTATGTGATGCTGGGGATCAAACTAGGATCAATTGTGCGCAAGGCAAGAGTCTTACCCCTGTGACTATCTCTTTGACCCTGATGTCACTGCCCTCATGAATGACCAACTAAGAGGCTGACCAAAAAGCAATCAATCCTGTTAGTTGCATGTTGAACAGTTTTGGACACGAGCTCTCTTTGGTCATGTAATATAGTTCTTGTTTGGATCTTTGAATTATTTTATTTAAATTAATTAAAATATGCAGATAGGATGAAACTAAATGAGATGAAGAAAATGGTAAGTTTTTAACTTTGTATAAATTCAGTGTTTGTGTTTTTATTTTTAAAAAATGTAAGAGAAACAAAGTAATTAAAAATCCAATAAAACTGTACAAGTATATAGAAGAGAAAAAAATTTTGCCCCAAGAAGATAAAGTTACTACATGAAATTTATTACTTATGAAGCTGGTATTCCTGAGCATTAAGATGTTTCTGAATTTTGGGCAAACTCCATGATTTGCTGAAGCTTTCACTGAAAGTGGAAAATTTCAATGTGCAATTCTTGAGCAGCATGTTTTTCTCCCACCTGTTCCTAGTGTGAAATTCCTGTCCTCTCCCCTTCTTATCCTACACTGTGAGGATGACAAGACGGTGCCTTTGGAGTTTGGAAAAAAGGTAAAACTAAGAGCTTGGTTCCAGCTAAAACATGCTAGATGTAGCTCCACTATTTTCTCACACTACAATAGTGTGTCTGACATGATAAGGGAATCCATAAGAGCCAGCCATGCCACTGATGTATGCAGTGAGCATTGGTATTCTTTGCTACTTACGTCAAAGGAGTATTAATGATTGAGCCTGGTCCCTCACCTTAAGTCTGTGGGTGTGCAGTGTAGACAGGCTCTTAGGCTGCCAGGCAACCTTCTAGGTAGTCTCTTCAATAGTGGCTCTGTGAACAGGCATGTGCTTTCTTGTCTTTTAAATGCAGGGAGGGTTCAGAGCAATTACTTGTCCCCTTACAACAGAGAGTGGGCAGGGGAATGAGGGGTCCCTAGCACTGTTCTATATTAACTGTGTACAGGTAGACCACTGGATGTGGAAAGTTCCTTTATCTCTGACTTACTAGGATTCACTCCTCAAGTTGGTTTATTCTGTCCTCTTCTAGAAAGTTAGATTAAAAAACAACAGCTCTGATGGTCAGTTTTTTTTTTTTGTCACCCCTGGTGGAACTCAGAAATCTCTTCTAGCAGGACTCATGGGATCATATACAGTGCCTGGGACTGAACCCCAGTTGGTGCATGCAATGCATGCAAGATAAGCACCTTACCTGCTGTACTATCTCTCTGGCCCTTGATGGTCCACTTTTGAATCTGTGACATTTTCTTACAGCTTTATGAAATTGCACACAGTGCATACAGGAACAAAGAAAGGGTTGAGATGGTCATCTTCCCTCCTGGCTTTCAACACAACTCCCTTTACAAAAGCCCTGCCCTGTTACAGACTGTGAGGTAAGAGGGGTTGAGGCGAATGTGATGATTTTTGCTAGAAAGGTAACTAGTTCTGCTCTGGTTTGCTTAGATCATTAGATGCAGAGTGCAGATAAATTAATCTAGTTTCTTTTTCTGCAGAGATTTCCTGAGCAGGCAGTGGGCATGAAGTCTGAGAACAACAGAGATCTTCAAGGAAGACTTAGTGTTGGATAATATTGGGTTGTCCTTGTTCCTCCCACAGGGAGCTTAGGTTTATTGAGTTACTCCCACAGCAGTGCTCCTGAGGCACACCCAATTCCATCAATCACTAATAACCCTATATTGCTTTTCTCTTTCCTTTACGTCAGTAGCATGGTTTAGCAATGTCCATTTGTATAGACACAGGAAGACAGTTGATGCTATGTTTTTGTAACATGGGAGTTAATTGACTCAAATAATATTTACTCCTGGACATCTGTTATATTTACCTGACTTAAGTCTCAGTTGCCCTTACTTCTTAACACCCCCAAAAGAAGGGTCCCAGTGAAAGGACTGAATGAACTCAGGGCAAGCTGTAAGCTACCCTGGCATCGAAAGGGGACAAGCTAAGCACTATAAATATAATAAGACAATTGTCATGGAACAAACTCTGTCATCACCCAAAAAGAAGTAACTGAATTAGGACCCTGTTGGAGTTAGGACAGAGTAACCTGGCCTGAGGATTGTAGTCTGGGATACAAAGGGAGATGTCCCCAGGAAGAGCCAACTTTAAGCTTAATCTATCTCTTACTGTGTTCATACAAAATGACTAGATATATTATAAGAAGTAAATTTGCTATGATTGTTTACATGAATTACTAGCTGAGGAAAGGAGAAAGCCTGGATAGAATTCCGCCCTTGAGCCAATCTCCTAGTAATCTGGATTGCTGAACCCTCAGATGAGATTTTGTCCTTGAGTTAATCTCCTAGAATTTCTCCTGAAGGAGTGACTCTACCTCTGTTTGTTGTTATGACAATGTTCAATCCCACCTATGTGTACCCCCATCCTTCATGATTTCTATATAACTATGCTGTCAGGGGAAAGAGGAAAATATAACTGTGATAAGGACCATGAGGATGAGGATGAGGGAATGATGATGACAGGGACTACCACCAAAACTACAACTATGAGTGTGCTGTAAGAGAGAGATCAGACTACGCTGGGGAGGAGAGTGAAATAAAGGACTACTGATCAGCCTGGGGCCCAGTTCCCATTTCTCCGTTCCCTGGTCCTTTATCCGTCCATGCCATGGGCTGGTTAGAGAAACGGTTCTTGGCCACAACTCGTCTCACAACTTGGTGCAAATACCTCCTGTCATGTGTATTTTTCGTATAAAACTGAACTGGGCAGCTGATTGAGCTGAAGTCATTGACATTTCTATAAACCATCTGTTGTTAGAGTAATGGAAAGCACAGATTCTGGATGATCTAGTTTATGTGCTTATCATAGTCTACCTGTGAACTGCTTAAATCTCATTCCTGGAGAATCAGCATTTGGATTGCACCTGAAAATATGTAGTTACCAAACATCTAATGGGTACTTATGGATAAGGTAGTCTTTGGTTTGTACTTAGCTGTGTGAGGTACACCGTTGGAGTTAAATCACTTGTATTTTAATAAATTTAAATCGTATTACCATCTTCCAGGCAGTTTTCTAGATGTCACTGGGGGAAAGTCCTAGCAGGCTATACAATCTGATATAAATATAAAGTTTTGGTATTCATGTTGTTTTTGGAGATTGATAACTTTATTTTTTCCCAATACAATCAAACACTTGCCCTTCCAATTCCTAGAGATATTTCATTATATTATTAGGTAACAAAAAAAAATCAAAAAAGGTCATAAAAACGTTCAGTTCAGGGAGAAGCTTTTTTCCATCCTGGAGACACTTCTTAACTTACGTTCCATTTACTTGTTCACACCATTGCTAGCTTCGTTGGCTAGAGATATCTTTAGATCTGAAGGCTCCATATTCCAGATGTCCTGAGCATATTCTTTAATTGTCCGGTCACTGGAGAACTTCCCTGAGGCAGCTATGTTTTTGAGTACCATTGTGTTCCAGGCCTTTGAATTCTGTAACAACACATGCATGTATGGCTGAAAGACTGTGTCTCCATCAGACTATGAAAAAAATCATCATATTTTATGCTCAAGCCCATTTCATGGAGCAAGTGGCAGCAAATTCAGAGCAGCAAATTGCATTGAACCATAAACTTATTGGTTCCACAGCAGAGCAATAGATAGAGTAGATATCATTTTCTCCTAAAGAATATTTCACTTGGGTCTAAAGTGACTCAGAACATTATTTAAAAATAAAGTGTGTACAATCTCTCAGTCATAGTACTTCTAGTAAAATTTCAGTAATTAAAAAAGAAATATTTTGTCCATCTGAGATTCTGCACTCCATGATAAAAGCTCACTCGGACGCTGGAGCCAAAAGCTGATGATGTTCTTAAATTGACAGTTGTCAATGCTAAACTATTTCCAAGGTAGTGTTAGTCAAGTATGTCTCAACACTAGCATGATTTAAAAAGGGATTCTGCAGCTGAATTAAAAAGGACTCAATACTTACTTTGTACCTAAGTTAAAGTCCTAACAAATTGGATTTGTACCATCCTCCCATTTTGTTCTTGGAAAATTAAATTCTACATGTGTAAGTCTGCCTAAATAGGTAGATTGAACTTATATCAAAATGTCCGCAGCAGTTTGTAAAAAAAAATTTAGTCCTTTTTCAAAGTAAAAATAAATAAATAAATAAAGTGTGTGTCTCACACATGTGTGATGCCCTGGGTTTGATACCTCTTCCAAAAAGAAAAAGCATCCTTCTTATATGATGACAAAAATAATTTTTTTCTTCTCAGAGAAACCATGGGTATAAATTCCCTATTTAGAAATTTATGCCTTGGTTACAATGTGTTGGCATGTAAGTAATATTTTCACACTTATTTCTATTTTTGGGCCATACCTGGCATTGATTAGGGGATATGCAGAAACTGGAATGTCATGATTTTGTAAGAAACTTAAAAGTTGATTGGAAATACCAAAAAATTCTTTAAAGGTCACTGAGAATGCACTATAAGCATTATGAATGACTAGCATTGTCATCATTCCTTGCAAAAAAAGAATCTGATATCATTTTCTTTTGGGGACTTTGGAAACTTATTAAAATAAGAGGTAAATGGAAGATTCCTCTCATTATTTAAATGTGGATCATAAAAAGACTTCTCAGAAATGTGAATATACAATCTAAGCATGAACAATGTAATTATTGTTAAGACTGAAAACTGCAATTTGTTCTACTGAACAGGATTAAACCAAAGGCTGGTTTAAATAGGCGTCTTTGGATCTGGGTCCTAATTCTAACAGAACAGGCCCAGTGTGCAAAGCTGACATGTTCCCTATTTATGTGTTCCTTTTTTAAAAATCCTATTTTATTCTTTGCTTCTATATAAAATCAGGCACTCAGAGCAAGAAAAGCCAGGGGCTGGGGTGGGGTAGGCGGGGTTACTTCCCTCTGAGTTTTTGGGGCTGAATGAGGAGCTCTCATCAATGTTGAGGAAGTAGGTAGAGAATTACTCAGTTCAAGGCTAGTGCTGGCCCTCCTTGCTGTGGCATTAACTTGAATTTACTCTGGTCTAGACAGTTTGTGGTAGGGGTTGCCTGACTATTAGTCTACTAAATGATTCAGAACTAAAGAAGCATGGGCTTTGAATGATCCCATTTCTGAAATTGGAAGGGGACCCTTGGAAGACTATAGGGATGACCCTGACACCTTAGAGTCAAAGGGAAAGAAAAGAAACAACTGAGAGTAAGGCTATTTGCTTTGGAAGTAGTTAACTGATGAGCCTGAATGGTAGGAGGTGGAGATTCTTAAAACCTTTGCTGTTTTGTGCTCTAATGGCTTTCTAGATGGGATACTATGTAGACAAGGGCAATGTGTTGAAGGTTCAAGGACACTGACCTTAAATTCATCCTGGAGTCTGGCACAGAGCCAGCCACTGCTTCTAGTCCTCTGTGCTATCTGTGATTTATTCCAAGTCCTTCCTATCTGAGATGGTAATTCCTTCCACATAGTCACTAAATGACATTGTTAGTGAAAGGGCTGAGATCTTTGCTAAAGATGTACCACTGAATGAGAGCAGTTACTCATGTGGCTCTAGATTTTTAGTTATTCATTTTTGTAAAGTGTTTCTTTTATTTATTTTTCTTTTAAAAATTATTTTATTTTTATAAAGTTTTCACAATAATTTGCACAGTGGTAGGGCGTTTGTCTTGTGCACTGCTGGCCCAGCCAACCCAGATTCAATTCCTGCCCCCCTCTCGGAGAGCCCAGCAAGCTACTGAGAGTATCTCGCCCACAGGCAAAGCCTGGAAAGCTACCCATGAGTATTGGATATGTGAAACACAGTAACAACAAGTCTCACAATGGAGATGTTACTGGGCCCACTCGAGCAAATTGATGAGCAGTGGGAGGAGAGTGACAGTGAATATTTCAATACCAATTCCATCACCATTATACCAACCCACCACCATTTTTCAAATGTTTCCACCCAGATTCCAAACCCTGCTCCCAAAGCAGGACCTAAATAATTTATATTGTATTGCTTGCTATGAATAATCCACTAAAAAGGCACCAGAATTTTTTTCTTAAGGGAGAGTGTGTGAAAATTGCTGTATTTCACCCTGGAGCCAATAAGACCTGTATAAGAGATAACATGTTAACATGTTGTTTAAGATTGAGCCTTGTCTGCTTATATATATATATATATATATATATATATACACACACATATACGTATTTATGTATTTTTTCTCGTCCTGAGATGGGTTGTTTTCTACTTTACACCCATCAAATGTGGTGTGCTACTCTTGGTACATACTAGTGGTGTGGAGTATGAGATGTTATTTATTTATTTATAATGGAATCACTATATATTACAAAGTTGCAAAATTATTTGTGTTTGAGTTTCAGGTGTACAATGTTCCAACACCATTCCCTTCACTAGTATATACTACCCTCAACCAGTGTCCCTTGTTTCTCTCCTGCCCCCAGTCTGCCTCCGTGGCAGACTCTGTGGCAGGCACAGAGTCTTTACTGTCTGCAGCTACCTTAGTATTCCCTTCTCTAACTTAGCACCTTCCCTTGCCCACCCTCCACCATCCCCTGTGTTAATCTTTCTGCTGAAGACCGACTCTTTTGCTCTTCTTCTTGCCTATTGCTTTTGGGAATCTGACATTCCCCTAGGAAGTTTCTGTCAAGTGTTTCTTGTTCCTTATCTTTCTTGATCTATTTTTTCCTTTCCATAAAAATCAAATACAGAACTTCCTACAATCCTATACATTTACATTTCATTCCTATGATCTTACTCCATGGGCAGTTGAGGAGAGATTCTTATTTTTCAATTTGCAAAGAATAGGGATCAGTTTTTATCTCTAAAACTTAAGGCTCAGCCTTAGAATTGTTGTCAAATCCTGAGGGGAATCCCAAACTGGGTCAGAATCTCTGAGAAGATTCCCACACTGGAATCTAGACTCTGACACAGCAGCCTACATAGTCCTGATGTCCACTCTTAAGATGCTGGGATTAAACAGACTCTTGGAGGAGAGAGAAGACAAGGTCTTGACTTGATCTTGTGGGAACCCTGCCACCCCACATGGAGCCTGCCCTGGAGACTGCCCAGGGTTCTCTGTCAAAGAAATGAGTGGGTAGAAGGAGTGTTTCATTTGCCTTTATACTCTTAGCTTCCAGACCAGATCATGCTTGTTATATGGTAGATGTTCAATATATCAATAAATAGGAGTTTTACTCTCTCTCTCTCTCTCTCTCTCTCTCTGTTTGTGTTTGTGTGTGTATGTGTGTTTAACCTGGATAATAAAAAATTTACTTCTACTTGATATGCCAAATCCTCTGTGCAAACTTGGAAACAAACAAGTTTTAACCCAGAGAGTTGCCACACATCTCTCTTTTGTTCTTTAGTGAGACCCTGTTATTGAGGTTTAACTGGAAAAAAACAAAATTTCAATTCACTACAATAAATTGGTTTCCATCCTATATTGATGATTACTCACCATGTAGAGCTGGCTGACTTTTTCTTGACACTTGACATACGATTCATAATCTGCAAAGACCTTAAACCTAGATTTTGATTGAAAAGAAAGAGCCAAAAAGATTCATTAACAGATGTGTGCTAAGATTCCATTCAAAATTCTCTTCTGCTTAATGTCAGGGAATGGCTCGTTTACCAAATTCTGATTTCTAGACACAATAACTTTAACCACCCCTCAGCTTTTCTTTCCCTGAGGAAGAATGTCATCTTATGATGAATCTGAAGGTGGGCACACAAGTAGGAGGTTAAAAGGAATGTCTGATTTGTGGGTATTATTCTTAAACTATCTTAGTATGGCTGATATAGAACATTGGGTTTTCTTTTCAAGTGTTGCTTGTTAAGACAGTGGTGTTCACTGACTTTTCCAGAAAAAGCTGAGTGTACACATCTCAGATGCAAAAGAGGGTGGAAAATGTACATTTTCATCTCTGTTTTATGGCCCAAATGGCAACATCTTTAAGACAGGAACTCACCTGTCATGATAAAATAGCATGGAGATTAAGTCTTTGAAGAGGTCTGGTTGCTTAGGAGAAAAGAAACCATTATCTATTTGATCCACAGCCAACTTCAGCTCTGGGAGTGACTCATAATATTCTTTTGCCTTATACCTGGGGTGGGGGGGAGATGGAAGGATAAGGGAAAGTTCTGTTAGTATTTGTGATTAACAATACACTGTAATAGCTATGAGAATGCATCCAGAAATACTTAGACTTATGGTAAGTCACCGTAGAGGTCAAGTAGCAATTGACTAAATCCTAGCATTTCCCCCACTAAGTTTGATTACTTCCTTATAACAGAAGAGACCAAGAAAAAGTAGGGAATAAATTCTAGTTGCAGAGCAATAGTGCAATCTAGTAGATACAGTAAGATTCATTTCAAAGCAAACTTTTTGGCCCCAAATTAGTACTGCTCTAGGTAGAACACTTTTTATAGATCTGCAGATTTCCTAGAGTTGTTGCTACTGAGTGAAATTGTTTCTCAAGTCAGTAGTATATTAGTTACCCTCCAAATGTAGGAATCTTCAAAATACTTTTAAGCAGTGCTCTTTCTTGATTAAATTCAATTTAACAAAACTTCCTAGCTGGAATTATGTGCATAAAATTTCATTACTAAGGTTTTGTAAACCATAGAACTTTAAATTTTTTAAAAAGAAAATAGGAAAAAAAATCATACATCTTTGATGCAAAGCAAAAACTAAACAAAAGCTCCCAAACCCCAAGACCAAAACAGACCTTTCTAGGTAGCAAGTGAAACAACTATTCCAAAGTGCTTCTCCATATTCACTGCTACCCTGTACTACTCTATTACATTTTAGTCCATCACGTGGAGATTTGGGGGTGGGGGTGGAGGAAAAGGCAGGAGGGATTGGGCCACACCTGCGCTCAGGGTTTATTTCTGGCTGTCTGCTCAGGAATCATTCTTGGTTATGCTTAGGGCTATATGCAGGGCTAGGAATAGAACAGGGGTTAGCTGTGTGCAAGGCAGCACCTGAACCCCTGCACTACCTCTCTGGTCCTCTGCTATCTTATAGGAAGGAACACTAGATGGTTTAATCCATTGATGGTTTAACACATTTCTCACTATCTGGCAGCAGCATTAACAGTGCCCTGCTTTGTGGGATGATGCTGAATTAAAATGTAATAGGAAATTTTGGCAACAGTAACCATTTATGTTGCTACTTTCGCTGCCTATTATTTGACTGAGTGGATGAATTAATTTATTGTATTCTTATTTCCCAAGTGTGAGCCACTGTTGGAACACACCAGCATCAGTATTTTAAATTACAGACAAACATTTCAGCTCAAAGTGGGTCCGTTTTTTGATTAACATGAGAAATGCAGATGGGAAAGTGAAAGGCTCATGAAGTCTAGTTCTGCAGTGGTGGAGACCACATGAACCTTGCCCCAAGGTGCTTGTACATTCTTTCACTTGTGGATTTAATGAACCTAATCTGTGGCCAGGAGGCTCCTTTACTCCTGTGAGATGTTTGGCTGCCTCTGTTTATGTGAGCCAGCCTTAGTGGGAGACCTGGGTGGACAGTTAGTCCTCTGAGCTCATGTACTTTGGGGGTGGTTATGGGACATGGAGACAGGATGTGTCTGTACAAAAGGAGCTGCTCTCTCACCCTTCCTTGTCTAAAGCAGCCACATCATCAACTCTCATGCCAAAGATGAACAGATTCTCTTCCCCAGCTTCCTCTGCCATTTCCACGTTGGCGCCATCCATTGTTCCAATGGTCAGGGCCCCATTCAGCATGAACTTCATATTGCCTGTCCCCGAGGCTTCGGTGCCTGCGGTGGAAATCTGCTCCGACAGATCTGTGGCTGGAATGACTGCAAGCGAGACATATGAGCATGAGGGACTTGGGCCTCCCAGATCTGCTTGAATTTGGCAAGCAGCCTTGGCCTGGTCATTAAAGCAAATATTCCCAGGGGTCAGAAGGACTGACCTCCTCCTCCCCTTGACTCTGACCCTCTTGACCATGCTGGATGTGCACTCCGGCAGCTTATGGCCACAATGCTAAAGGACAGTGTGCTTAGAATACTCTTCCTTGCTCTACAAACATGATAAGATAGCTCCTCCTGGGGATAGTATGGTAGCTCAGGTGCTAGGCAATAGTGGGCTGGATTCTAGGCACCACATGGTTCCCCAAGTAATATCCAAGAGCAGCCCTGCTGAGCCCCTCCCCACCATCACTACCTCCTCCAGCCCAGCTCGTTGTCGCCCTGGAGGACCCTGGCACTGCTGGGTGGCCTGAAGATTTAGGCACCCAAGGGCTCACTCTCAGCTGGTTGACTGAGAATCATCAGTAAAGTCCCAGACCTGAGCATTGCTTGGATGCTTGGATGGAGGTGGGAGATCCCCTCACTACAAAACACAAAAACTCTATTCCCTGTCTGCTATTAACACTAATGCTGCAATTTCTCTCCTTCTTTACCATCAATTTTTGTTATTTATTTATTTATTTATTTTTACTTTATATCTTTATAGAATTTTGAATCTTATTTTCTTTTCCTAGTTTTGGTTTTTGGGCCAAAAATGGTCAGAAATCACTCCTGGCAGGGCTCAGGGGGTGGAATCTAAGTCAGCCACCTGCAAGGCAAGAACCCGAACCTGTACTATGCTCTGGCCCTGAAAACTCTTTTTCTTGATCTTTAAAACTCAGTTGCCCCTATCCTCTCTTTTGCGATCTGAGGGAACTGTGCATTCCTTCCGGTATTTCCTTCACCAATTTCTCCACAGGATGGATATGTGTGCCTGGGGATAGACAGAATCTGCCTTATTTACACACAAAGTAGACTGCCCTGGATAGGGCTGAGAGGCTTTGACAGCTTCCTGTGGGAAAGCGGCTCAGAGAATTAGAGATGTTTTATCTGCACCCACCAAGGCCTAGCACCTTATCTTTGTGCAGACACTTCTCAAACCATCAGGGGACCCCAAAACAGAGTAGCTCAGAAAAGATCTTCTCACAGTTTGGGAAAGGGTGAATGCACAGTTGGATTTTGCATATGGATGGTGCTTTGTGGGCTGGTGCTGTCAATAAGCTAAGGTCCCAGTGGACAAGAAAGGCAGCTGGCTTCTTGCCTGGCTGGCTGTCCCCACGTGGGGACTCCGTGCTCCATACCCAAGTGGTCATCTCAGGCACATGTAAGCCTCATGCCCTGGCAGTTTGACATGGGTTGCCACACAACAAATGACAGCCCTTTCTTCCCATGAGATGACTGGAAGAACAGCTGGTGCTTGATTGCAACATGGGGATCAGGAACCCCAGAGTCTGTTTTTCTTTTCAAAGGACAGTCTGTGGGTGTCAAAACTCTAGCACCACCTCCCCTAGCACCTATCCACTGATTGAGGGGGTAGGGTGGGGGAAGATGTGCTGGATGATAAAATCCTGAATCCGGTGACAGCAATCTCATCATCACTTGGGTCACTCTGAAAACTTTTGGCTTGGGGAAGAGGCTGGGCCCTGGAATCGCTGTCACTGGGTGATATCTAATTTACACTTTCTGAGAAATCTGCAAACTGTTTTCCATGAAGTTTGAACCAGACAGTCCCCCTAACACAAAATGACAGTTCCTTTCCACCACCTTCCCCACCAGCACTGATTGTTTACACACTAAAATTAAGTCTGCCTGTTTTAATTACAAAATGTGACCAGTAGAAATTTTTAAAAAACCACATAAAAGAATACATCTGCAAAAAAAATGAGATGCAATTATGAAATATTTCCAGCCACATTAAAACAAATAAAAATATTCTATTTGAAAATAATTTTGCAAATAAATCAAGCTCTGAGGTGCCTGAGGGTGGCATGGACCCCCTAGATTCTTAGCTCCTTAAGGTCAACCCCGTTTTTCCAATGTAAATAATTCACTGTCACTGTCCTCCTGTTGTTCATCGATTTGCTCGAGCAGGCCCAGTAATGTCTCCATTGTGACAATTGTTACTGTGTTTGGCATAGCGAATACAACACGGGCAGCTTGCCAGGCTTCGCCGCGCAGGCGAGATACTCTCGGTAGCTTGCCGGGCTCTCCGAGAGGGGCAGAGGAATCAAACTCGGGTCAGCCATGTTGGCCGCTTGTAAGGCAAACACCCTACACACTGTGCTATCGCTCCAGCCCTGTAAACAATTATTCCCTAGAATTTATCTTGGCCTGCATGGTTTACAATGAGAGGACTACTTTTTAAATGGTTTTTGTTTGTTTTGTCACAGCCCGCAGTGCTCAGGGGTTATCCTTGGCTCTATGCTTGAGTGGGAGATGGTCACTCCTGGCAGTGTTCAGAGGACACTAGGATTGAACCCTGGGCACCCAATAGGCAGACCATGCACATTTGCCTTTTGTGCTATCTCTCTGTCTATTACCTTTTTCAGCAAGAGACACTCTGTAGTTCTCCAAGAAGATGACCTTCAGCTTGCTGCCAATGACAGGGTCGTTGTTCACCACATCAGCCACTGAGGTGATCAGCTTTATGATCATTTTGGCCATGTGATAGCCTGGGGCAGCCTTGGGGCAGAAAGGCAGATATGCTGACTGACTGCAGTGGCGACAAGCCAGAGACAAAAAGAGAAATCAGAGTCCCCTAGTCCACCAACAGAATCAACTTACTTTGCCACCGATAATAACTGTTCTGGGCACAAACAACTTCTTAGGTTCTTTCTTAATGCCTGGAAAAGATGGAGACGGGGATCAGATGGAGGATGGTGGGTGGGTGGGATGCTGCTGTTCCCTCCAGGGGGGGCCAGTTGGGGGCTCTGGGGCTGACTCACGGTTGTACATGGTGATTACGTGCAGGCAGTTCAAGAGCTGCCGCTTGTACTCATGGATCCTCTTCACGTGCACGTCGAACATGGAGGATGGGTTGATCTTCACCTTGTACTCCTTCTCCAGGTACTGAGAAAACTTCAGCTTGTTCTCCTGTGGAGAAACCACCCAGTGCCTGAGTCTTCCTGAGCAGCCCTGGGGGCCTGTAAGTGGGTTGCGGCTTCTACAGCCCTCATGGCAAGCACCTGGGGAGGCTCACCTGCTTCACATTGGCCACCTCCCGGAGGAAGACATCATCGTTCAGGAAATCATGCAGCTTCATTAGCTGGCTCAAGTCTTTCACGTAGTCTTCCCCAATTTTCTATCCATTCAGAGGGAGAAATGACTTTAACTCAGGGATGGCAAGAAAACCTAACTGAATAGTTTCTGTCTGGGCTCACATTTCCCCCCTCCCCCATACACACACACACACACACACACACACACACACACACACCTACCCTAAATAGCTTTGCTGCCAGAGGAGGTTAGTCAAGCTGTGAGGGAGGAAACTTTGAGTGGGGGGGTGGCAGGGAGAGGGTCCAAGCAGTGCTAGGGGTCTCAGGTTTGCCTAGAGTGGTATTTGGGTGCTATACAGTGATGCTAGCAATGGAATCCAGGGTCTAGAGCATGTGCGCCAGGTCTTTGAAACATCTCCTCCATTTCCCCAAACAGATTTGCTAGTACTTTAAAGATGGTTCTGTAGTATTGTTACAAGGCAGGAAAATTGAAAGGTTGACCAAGAATCCAGGATCTACTACTCAAAGAATCTTAGCTCGCCTTGTTCATTAAATAGGGGAGTTTCTTCCATTGGTCTCTCCTGGGGGCGTACTGTTTGCCAGGATCAGCTCCATAATGTGGGGTCACTTATTCAAAAGTTAGGGGTTTCAAGATGGAAAGAGTGGAATGTTCAATCCAGCGGGGAGCCTGGTGGTGGGGCTACATATGTCACACTCGATGAAACTCCAATGAAAAAGATTATTTGCAGATCAGAAGCACACTTGTAAGCATCCATTCAGTCAGGCCTCCTTTCCCTCTCCCCGCCCCCCCCCCTTCCCACACACACACACACAAACCTCTGCTATCAGCTCTGCAAGTCCTGGGTTGCAGAGTAAGAGCCAGCGCCTCGGAGTGATTCCATTGGTTTTATTCTGAAACTTTTTTGGCTCTAGCTCACTGAAGTCCTTGAATCTGGAGAGAGAAAAGACACATCACTGCATCCGACTGCTAGGTCAGGTTCCTGCATGCTGGATAAAGCTCAGAGTTGTGTCCAAGAAGCCTAGTGGAAGGACTGGAGCGAGAGTACAGCAGATAAGGTGCCTGCCTTGCATGTGACCAGTCCTGGTTTGAGGCCAGCACCACATACAGACCCTTGAGTAAGCCAGGAGTGTGTTTCCTTGCCCTGCCTCGCTGTCCCGCCAGCCCCCCCCCCGCCCCCCCGCCCCTGCCAAATAACCATTGACAGAAGTGCTAGACTTAGGAAGCTTAAGATGGAGAAAAGGGTGAGAGCAGCAAGCATGGCCATTCTAAATAGAAAAATCACTTGTAACTCAAACTGATTAAAACTCTGGTGCTCTGGAGCACCTCTCAGCTCAGTGTTCAGGGGTCCATCCTGGTGGTGGTGTCCATCCTAATGGAGATCATATGGTATGGGGAAGGCCTCCTGCAGATCAGACACAAGCTCTTGCCTGTGGAGTTAACTTTATGGTCCTTCTAGGAAAATACTTTTTGTTGCTGTTGTTTTGTCCATGCCTGGCAGTGCTTGGGGTTTATTCCTAGCTCTGTGAACAAAAACCACAACTGGGAGGCTCAGGGGACCCTATGTGGTGCAGGGGATTAAACCAATATCGGCTGCATGACAGGTGAGTGTTTTACCCTCTGTGTTATTGCTCTGTACCAGAAAATACTTTTGAACATTTTAATAAGGGTTTTTCTTACCCCCAGATGCATCACTCATTAGTGGAGTGAGGTGAGACCCACAGTCCCGGGCAGACTCACACTTGCGTCTTGATGATATCTGAGTGAATCTTTGCCACACCATTCACAGCATGGGAGCCCACGATGCAGAGATGCGCCATGTTGATCCTTTTGCCTCCATCTTCTTCTACCAGAGACATCCTTCTCAGCCGGTCAACATCTTTAGGGAAGAGGGCTGCAATTCTCTAGCCAAAGGGAGAGAAATGACTTGTGGGTGACTCAGGTGTCAAGCAACATGGGGGTAACATGCATCACATTTCCCAGGCAGGCTACTCCTTTATGGAGTGAATAGATTTACCCAGAGATAAATCATTTTAGTATTTTCAAGAACTGGCTTATTCTCAGGGATCCCTCTTGACAAGAATCAGGGGACCACATGCTGTGCCAGGGATTAAACTGGGATTGACCACATGCAAGGCAAATACCTTAAACCCTATATTAGCTCTCTGGGCTGGTAACTTTCATACTTTTGATATATCAATGATTAAAAGACTTTTGGGTTTCAAGTTTCTTAAGCAGAAACATTTTACAGCTTTGTTCTCAAAAGAGTTTGAATTTCTCAAAATGACTTACATCCAAATGCTTCTGATTGATTTCGTAAATGATCTGCAAATGCCGAGGCAGCAGCTTCTCCAGCAGCTCCACAGGCCAGCGCTCCAGGGCTTCGGGGAGCACTGTGTGGTTGGTGTATGCAAAGGTCTTCTGGGTGATCTCCCAGGCCTGAGGGGGAAGGAGAGTTGGGCAGTGTCTGCAAGAAGAGCTGCCTGCAGGGGTACTGCCACAGTACACTAAGACACACCCTCAACTCCCATTTGCCTGTTCAGGCCAATTAATCTGCAGCAGGACAATTATAAGTATATGGTCCAGAAGTATATGGAAGCTAGAAGTACATGGGAACATTGTTTTGGAACAGAAACAACAGCTATTTGTGACAGTATCTGATAAAACCCACAGCATGCTAGCAGATCACCATCATCACCATCATGCCTTAATTTATTAAGCAAACAGAATGTGAGGAGTAAAGATTTAACACAGAGAATGTTTAAAACAGGAACTTTCAAGCAGTAGTGTCACTTTCTGTGAGCTGTATTCTGAGGTTGGAGTTTAATTTGGAGTCCTTTTAAGCACAAATAGCAGCAAACACACTGGCTTTAGTATTGTCAGTGATCTGCAGTCCCGTCTGGAATGCGGTTGTTCATTTCTGAGTCTCCCATTCTGTAAGGCTGGAAAATGTCAGCTGCAGTGCAGAATCTACCTTTTATGGTTGGAAGCTAGCAACAGCCACTTATTTATTTTTTTTTAAAAAAGTGTGTAAAAGGAGCTTTTTGGGGGGGGGGAACCATCTCAACCACAGTTAGTTTGAAGAGCTGAAGAAAAAAGAAGGTGAATCATTCAAACCTTGGACCAGGGAAGCTTCTCAATATCTACAAACACCCTCATCAGCTCTGGGATGGCAAGGGCAGGATGAGTGTCATTGAGCTGGATGGCGACCTGTGTGGGAACAGATACGAAGTGAAGGGGCCAGGTGGGCGTGGGTGCTGCCTTGTCTGCAAACCTGCCAGGGCAAAGCACCAAACACAGGGCCTGCCTTGCCTTACACAGAGTGCTCTGTGCATCCCGGCATAGCCTTCTAAGCATCAAGACAGCAAGACAGGTACATTGGATAGAAATTCTGATTCCCCTCCCATCTCTGCCCCCCCCCCCCCCGCCCGCAAACTGTGCCTGCCTAGGTGCAGGGAGGGATGGGATACTTGCCTGGTCAGGAAAGGCATCAAAGGCAGTTGCAGCACTGGTGGCAGAGCCAAGCTTGGCAGATTTGAAACGTCGGATGACGTCTTGCAAGGTAGCAGCCACCACAAAATACTCCTGCTTCAATCGTAGTTCCTTCCCTTCAAAAAACTTTGGGCCAGAGAGACTTGGGTGAGGACGACTCACTCTGCTAAGTATGACCAACATGGGACTGGTGATTTCAGGGCTAATTCCCACCAGCTATTGAGTGGAAAACACCAAGCTTTGAGAGACAGCAAGGACTCCTCAAAAGAAGCATTTTAAAAATGTTCCCCTGTCTGGAGATGTGGCTTGGTGTTAAAGAACAAATATTGTATGCATGAGACCTGGGTTTGATACCTGGACTGAAAACAATTTTGCTTTGTCTTCACCAAACACCAAACACCTTCCTGAAGCTCCATTAAAATGGGAGTAAAGGGATTGACAAATGGAAACATGGAGAGAGAATGAAGGGAATGAGAGAGACACAAGCAACAATGCTTTAGAAACTCAAAAAGCCTAAGTGGTAGCTGAACCAGAAGCTTCAGGAAATCAGAATTCTGACTTGAGAGTGAAGAAGCCAAACCGCTACGCAATTTAGGCACCAAAGGTCCCCAAGGCTTAGGAGCTGGCAGCACCAATGCCTTTGGGAGCAGGGCTGAGGGTGGGGTGAAAGGTTAGTGAGGAGCTTGTCTGCAAAGCAACTGAACTCAGACCTCATCTCCAGTTCCCTCCGCTGAGCAATTTCCTTTGCCAATTCAGGCAGAAGCTAAGTAGGTGCTTTAGCAATAAGCTCCTTCTGTTTCCACTGAGAAAGCAAGCTTGATCACTCACATTATCATTGGGATAGAGCACGCGGGAGATGTTCTCAGCCAGATTCCGGTCCAGCACAGCCTGAATGTAGTCTCCAACATTAACTGAGGACAATATTAGAAAAATGAATGATGAGACAATCGAGCCACCTGTATTGGAAGCTGCCTGCGCTTGCTGATGTTTGCTGACTGCCAGATGGGTCGAATTCATAGGAACCTAAAAGAATCTCAGCAAGCCTTGCTGCTGTGATATGAGAGACAAGCGAGGGCTCCTCAAAAGAAGCGTTTTAAAAATGTTTCCCTGTCTGGAGATGTGGCTTGGTGTTAAAGTACAAATCTTGTATGCATGAGACCTGGGTTTGATCCCTGGCCCGAAAACAATTTTGCTTTGTTTTCCATACTTACTCTGGAGCGATAGCACAGCGGGTAAGGCGGTCGCCTTACAAGCGGCCAACATGGCCGACCCGAGTTCAATTCTTCCGCCCCTCTCGGAGAGCCCGGCAAGCTACCGAGAGTATTCGATATGCCAGACACAGTAACAACAAAAGTCTCCAATGGAGACGTTACTGGGCCCGCTCGAGCAAATCGACGATCAACGGGAGGGCCTTTACCTTACCTTACCTTCCATACTTACTCTTTAAGTGGATTAGTCATTGAGGTGTTTAGATCAGAAACCCAAGTTTTGTTTTGAGTTTTTAGTAGATGAAAACACTGGGCAGATGAAAACTCAGGGAACCATGTGGTCCCGGGGATCAAACCCAGAGCTCTTGCACGCAAAGCATATTCTCTAGCCTTCTGATCTATCTCCCCCACTCTGAAATGCGGGGCTCTTTTTCTCCAGATCAAATGATTTAATTACTGGGTAAAGCGATTAAACACAGCAAACAAACAAGAGCATCTGTTGTACTCACAGTCTCTGAGGTTAAAATCATTTGGGGCCCGAGCCGACCAGAGGCGCATGGTGTTGACAGTGTTATTCATGTACCCAGGCACCGGGGTGTCATAGGGCAGAGCCAGGACCACCTGTGGGGTTAAACAGAAACAGCTGCTCATTGTTGCCAAGGTGTGACAGCACAGGTTCACTGGAGCTGGTAGACAGCGGCTGGAATTCTGTTCCTGACACGATCACCAACCCAGTTCCTATGAGTCAAGGCTGAAAATACCTGGACTGAAGGTGAAATTAGAGGCCTCATGGAATCTCTTTCCACTGAAACAATATGGATAACCCGAACCTTCTAGACCAATGAAACACACTGTCATTTTTACTTTCCTCTGTGGCTTGATCTGGATGTAGATCTTTCCTACTTCACATGTTGCCACTGTTTTAAAAATAAGGTAAAGGTAAAGGCCCTCCCGTTGATCGTCGATTTGCTCGAGCGGGCCCAGTAACGTCTCCATTGGAGACTTTGTTGTTACTGTGTCTGGCATATCGAATACTCTCGGTAGCTTGCCGGGCTCTCCGAGAGGGGCGGAGGAATCGAACTCGGGTCGGCCATGTTGGCCGCTTGTAAGGCGAACGCCCTACCCGCTGTGCTAAGTGTGAAATGTGGCTCTTGACCCATTAAAAAATAGAAATTGGGTAAGGCTTTGCGTAGATTATTCAATGATCTCATTTTAGTCATAATCAGAACCAGTGTAACAGGAAATGGATGATGATAGAATACTGCTAGACGTTTTAAATGCTCTGCTAGAGTTTTCAAAAAATTGCATGCAGAAGCGTTTCTTTAGTTGAAAACTAGCTGAGGCAGGTCTGAAAGGAGAGCTCTGGAAAGTCAAACTTAACCCTGTGATAGTCATTGCAGTAAAGACAGAAAGATAAACTGTGTTTCCTGTGAACTTAACATTTATGGAGGGAAAGACTTATTTATAGTCCATTCCTCACTGGAGTCAAATTCCAAGGAAAGGAAATAATTTATTGATGTGGAGGATCTATAGCTCATTTTGAACCAACTCCTTTTGAGTAGGAGAAGTGAGGATGAGAGAGAAGCGGCATGAACAAGGTCATAGTAACTATGAGAGTTGAGATCTAAACACAAGTCATTTTTTTCCCCTTTATATTGTTTTATTTTTTTTAAGTTGTAGATTTACAATTTTTGTGCTTTGGTTTCAATTATACAATGATCAGATACCCATCCCTCCACCAGTGCCCATTTTCCACCACCATGGATAATATCCCCCTCACCCCCATCCTCCCATCCCCCCGTCTCTGTGGCAGGGCAATCCCCTGTGTTCTCTCTCTCCTTTTGGGTGTTGTGGTCTGCAAAAGAGGCATTGAGTGGCAAACATGTTCAGTCCATAGTCTACTTTCGACATGCATCTCCCCTCCTGGGAGGATCCTCCAAACATCCTTTATTTGGTGCTCCCTTCTCTATCTGAGCTGCCCTTTCCTCTAGGATACCCGGCTGGCCTCTAAGTTATGGAGTAATCCTCCTGGTGCTGATCTCAGCTATTCTTGGGTATTAATCTCATACTTTGTTACTTTATATCCCCCAGATGAATGCAATCTTTCTATGTCTATCCCTCTCTTTCTGACTCATTTCGCTTAGCATGATACTTTCCATATTGTACCACTTGTATGTAAATTTCATGACTTCATCTTTTCTAACAGCTACATAGTACTCCATTGTAAACACAAGTCATTTTAAAAAAATTGGACTGCTGAATTGTGAAGGAAGAATTAAATTGATTGTATCAATCAATCAATCACATCTATTCATGTATGCTCTTATGAACACTGTGACTACAGAGGAACTAATCACTGAGATTTATTTAGAAATCTTTCATTAGAAACTATAGTAGGTCTCTGGAGACTTTTAATGCAAGTGGTGATCAGTCTGAAAGAGTCATTTACAAAATGAGATTGAGTGTGGGGGTCAAACACGATCTGACCCTTCCAGAGCAAATGCCTCTTTAGAACCTTGGGCAGGAGCTGCGATCTCAGAGTTCAGGATTAGATTGTGCCTGCTTTCTTTAAGGCATTTCCTTTGTAGGGGAAGAGGCAGGACTTCTCTTGAGCAGTGATTATTCTCAGGTCCCATCATCCTGACCATCTGCTCAGAAATTCACTGTAGTCTGAGGTCTGAGGCGTGTCCCAAGAACCTCACTTCTTTCCTTTTCTCTCTTCACTTGTGTCACTCTTATGTCGTGTATAGGACTTCTCTCCCTCTCCTTCTCCCTGTGATCGTTCATGCACCTTTCCCCAATATACATCAGTGTGCATCCAATTCTCTCTGCTGTCTTGTAAAGGTGGAAGAATGAAATGAACAGTGGGCTTCACAGAAGCCTTCCACATGCACACTGCATGTCTGACCTCATGTTCTTTGACCTCTGGAGCTGACTCACGGGATGGTTTCAATCCATAAGTTTCTGCACAACCTGGGTCAGCTCATCTGCCCTCCAACCTTGTCTTTCTGGACACAGAAAAAAACTCTCTTTAATTGAATTTTTCAATGGAGTATAAAAAAAAGGTCTCTAGTGTGCTTTGTAAATACACTGTATACCGTAATACACTGTAAATACACTGTATCCACATATACCTCTGGGCAGAGAAGTGGTGAGTCTTAGGTCCCATCGGCCTGACCACCTGGGGCTGACTGTGTACACTGACAGGGTTAAACAAATCACAAGTCAAGATAGAGTTTTAGATGTCAACATCTATACCAAATACTTGCTAGCTTAATGCCAAATATATGTGTCATTTTGGGGAGGTATCTGTGATTAGTTTATTTCAACTCTCCTAATCATATTTATATCAATTGCAACTTAGATTGTGGCCTACTATTTAATTAATATTAAGTAGTATACATGCAATGAAAATTCCTCCCCACTGTACTATTTCTGTAGTTCCCTTCTATTGCATTTCTTAACCCTGATTTTGATATGCAAGAACATCATATACTTGCTCTTAAACATTTCTTTAAGCTTTCAATGCAAGGCCAAGAATATATATATATATATATATATATATATATATATATATATATATTTGTCAGCTTAAGACCCTATTTATGAAACCAATATCTCAAATGGAGGCTCCAGTGACTGGGTATTACAATTCAGAAATTAATAATGACTATTTGTCAGGAAGTTTGAAAAACCCAAACCACCACTGGGGACACTGAAAAGTGAACTCCTCTTCAGTGATAGAGAAATATTCAAATCAGGTGGCACCAGGAAAAAGATATGCCCAGGAAATTAAATACACTTGAATCAGCACTTCCTCTAGAAGTGATCTGGCCCAGAATGAGAGTACATTTTGTGATAATTTGCACTGTTTTCCTTAACTTTGACCGAGTAACAACCCTGGCAGTCTTTTCAATAAGAACTTCAGTTTCTAAATATTTACTGTGTAATTTATAAGTATGTAAATACTATATAGTATTGGGGAGAGGAATGATATTTCATTTTTATATTATTTTTACTTTATTTGGAAAGGGTGCTCCCAAGCAGTGCTCAGGAAGCTGCAGTTAGAATAGCCATTTCCAGTCAAATGGGTCAGTGCAAGACGTCAATGGTTCCACAGTGCCAGGGATACTCCGGCTACCCAGGAGTGCTGGGCACCTTCAGGACTACACCCACCCAGTGATGGTTGAGAACCACAGAGTGTCACTGTCACTGTCACTGTCTTCCCATTGTTCATCGATTTTGCTTGAGTGGGCCCAGTAACATTGTGAGACTTGTTACTGTGTTTGGCATATCGAATATGTCACAGGTAGCTTGCCAGGCTTGGCCGTGCGAGCGAGATACTCTCGGTAGCTTGCCAGGCTCTCCGAGAGGGGAGGAAGAATCAAACTCGGGTCGGCCATGTGCAAGATAAATGCCTTACCCGCTGTGCTATCACTCCAGAGTGTGACAGGAATAAAAAGGTGGGGGCATGCTAGGCATATGCCTTAATTGCAATTTCTAGGTGCAATTAAGGCATATGCCTAACATGCCCCCACAAAATGACATTTCAATGTATTTGATTTTGAAACTAACAACTTCATAGAAATTTGGAGTCCTAAGTATGCTAGGAACTGATGAGTCACTGTGAAGCTGATTGCAAAATGGTGAAGTGGCTTGACTTTGGTGAAATAACTTCTCTCTTGGTCTCAGAAACCTAGTCTCCACAATAAGTCATTTGCACTAAGATGACTACATATTTATTTATAAAAATATAAAAATACCCTATTAGGGGCCAGAATGATAATATAGTGGGTGGGGCATTTGCCTTGCACATGGCTGACCTGGGTTCAGTCCCAGGTAATCTGAGTTCAATCCCCAGCACCCTGAAGTTCCCTGTACCCACCATGTGTGATCGCTGGGTACAGAGCCAGGAGTAAACCCTGAGCACGGCCAGGTGAGATCCCCCAAACAAAACCAAAACTAAAATACACTCTATTATTCAAAGCACAACACAGTGTCCTCAGATACACACTAGACTATTGGTATCCATTCTGCTGCTACAATTTGCTGCTGCACAAATTTGTTGGTACAAAATGCTGGGAAAAGGCATTGCAAACCTGGGTGTCAAGCCACTTGGCCCCAGCCTCGGTGTGTTCCACTCTTCCATAGAAGTGCACTGGCAGCGTGAACTCAGGACGGGCCTTCTCCCAGGGGTTCCCGTGCCTGAGCCAATCATCTGCCTCTTCTACCTGCAAGAGAGACAGGATTCAGAATTTACCTTTAGGGTATTTGGACATAGTGGTTTGATTATATTGAATTAAATATATTTTTAATTGAATTGACTCAAGGATATGGTTGTTGCAAGAAGGAGTGTTAACTGTGTCAATCTCAATTTATACTTCACTATCATATATATGTATCTTACTATTATACTATATATATTACTCAGTTTATCTCTTATTATCTTATATATACCTGTAAATATCTGGGTATATATATAATATATGTATATCCTAAGTCAGCAATCATATTTGCTAATATGGATTTCTTACATAGGTGTTATTGCATTTACTCAGAAGAAGGAACTGTGGAAGGAAGTATAAGAAAGAACTATGATTTCACCCTTCTAAAGGATATGAGGAAAATGTAACTTGCTAAAAGTTACACAGCTAATAAAACAGCACAAATAAGATTTGTGTGCTTTACATTCTGGGGGAGAAGGCAGCTCAGATAGAGAGGGGAACACCAAGTAAAGGGTGATGGGAGGATCTCCCAGGATGAGAGATGCATGCTGAAAGTAGACTATAGACCAAATATAAAGGCCACTCAATGCCTCTTTTGCAAACCACAGCACCCAAAAGGAGAGAGAGAACAAAAGGGAATGCCCTGCCACAGGGGTGGGGTGGGATGGGAGTTTGAGCAGGGGAGGGTGGGAGGGATGCTGGGAGCATTTAAGATGGGGAATGGGCACTGGTGGAGGGATGGATTCTCAATCATTGTATAACTGAAACCCAAGCACAAAAATTTGTACGTCTACAACTGTATCTCATGGTGTTTCACTAATAAAAATTAAAAAAAAAGATTTGTGTGCTCTAGAGCCTACAAATGTAGATAAATCTTTAGCATCAATAAATGTAGTTGTCTAGCCCAAGCTAAAGACAGGAGCCCCTTAGGGATGTTGATCCTTGGCTGCTTGCACCTGACAGGTCTTTTATGATGGTTTCATTCCAGATTCTTGTGTCTGAAATACTCCTGAATAGGTTAAGCTACTCCTAGAAAATTAAAAAAGGATTTTATTCAGTATAAGTCTAGAACAGCTTTGCAATAAAAACTTTATTGCATTAAAAGTTTTTAATCTTTGTTTAATAGCACAGCGGGTAGGGCATTCGCCTTACACGCTGCCAACATGGCCGACCCAAGTTCGATTCCTCCGCCCCTCTCAGAGAGCCTGGCAAGCTACCGAGAGTATTCGATATGCCAGACACAGTAACAACAAAGTCTCCAATGGAGACGTTACTGGGCCCGCTCGAGCAAATCTTTGTTTAAATAATATGTAATTTTGCTCCGATATCAAGCATAAACTGTGTTCATTTGAAAATACCACATAACAGGAGGTAAGGAATTTTGTTGAGAATTTAAAAGTTTCCTATATATCTATTAGTTTTTAATAAGGCATTTTTGGAAGTAAACTAGTTTTTAGAAAACATTTGCTTAAATGGATGTGAGAATGTGAAGGCGGGGTGGGGTGGATTCAAAAGAGAAAACAAGCTTCTCCAGAGGGAAAAGCCGAAAGGATACATCTTAAGTTGAAATGCAGGCCTATCTCCAGAGGAGAGAATGAGTATTTAACAAAATATTCTTATAGAGTTTTAAAAGAATTATAGTTTGTATTTGGGGTTTCAAAATGGATTTCTCTTTGCAACAAACTACCAGACAAATATGCCAAAAGAATATATCAGGGGGATATATTTCTTTTTTTTTTTCTGTGAAGTCAGTTTTTTTTTGTTTCTTTCTTTTTTTTTTTTTTTACAGTTGTAGATTTACAATTTTTTGTGCTTGGGTTTCGATTATACAATGATCAGATACCTATCCCTCCACCAGTGCCCATTTTCCACCATCATGGATAATATCCCCCCACACCCATCCCCCCATCCCCCCCGCCTCTGTGGAGGGGGATATATTTCTAAAGTAAAGATAAAGTAAAGTGAAGTAAAGGCCCTCCCGTTGATCATCGATTTGCTCGAGCGGGCCCAGTAACGTCTCCATTGGAGACTTTGTTGTTACTGTGTCCGGCATATCGAATACTCTCGGTAGCTTGCCGGGCTCTCCAAGAGGGGCAGAGGAATCGAACTCGGGTCGGCCATGTTGGCTGCGTGCAAGGCAGACGCCCTACCCACTGTGCTATCGCTCCAGCCAAAGTAAAGATACTATTGGTAAAATCTTAAAGATTACATAAACATTAAAACATAGGATCATGTTCTGACAAGAAGGCAGAGGCAAGCATGTACTTTACTTTATGTTTAGTTTTTGTTGTTTTGGGGTCACAGTCAGTTGTGCTCAGGACTTATTCTTGGCTCTGTGCTCAGAGATTACTCTTGGCATTGTTCAGGGAACCAAATACAGTGCTGGAGATTGAGCCCAGGTTGGCCTTGTGCAAGTCAAGTGCTTTACCTTCTGTAAGACTCCTAAAGTCTTGACTCATTTTGTCTATGAGATTAGGATACCATTATCATTTTACTATTAGATTCCTTACTCCTCTCCCACCCTGAAAACATAGCTTTAGTTTAAGAACTTATAAATAATGACACAATGCTGAATGCTTCGTGATTCTTGAAATTTGAAATCAATGCCCGCCCAAGGCACAGAATGGAGAGAAACAAACACAGCTATGACCTATTGAGATATTGACATTATATTAATGTCAACAAACAAGCAAATAAATAGACATTAATTTATTCAAAAATTGATCTATCAAGAAAGTCAGGAAGCCTCCCATGTGTAGAACGATGATGGATAAAAGAGGGACTCATAGAAACATCATCTTTTTGTTTTTGTTTCTTTGGGTCACACCCAGCAGTGCTTAGGGATCACTCCTGACTTAGTGCACAGAAATCGCTCTTGGAGGGGCTCTGAGGACCATGTGTGGTGCTGGGGATGGAACGCAGGTCAGCTGCATGCAGGGCAAGAGCCCCACTTGCTGTACTGTCGCTTCAGTCCAAGAAACATCTTTTGGGTAGAAGATCTAAGAGTGACAAAATGCCTCAGACAAAAGGATGAATCAGATGCTACATTAAATCTGGATATGGCTGGATGGAGATGTGAGCTAACTTGTAAAACGCATTTTGTTAAAGTGCAGAGTTCCAAGTGGTGGGTCAGAAAATCTTCATTTGAAACACCTCTCCAGAGGCTCAGTCAGTATTGACATAATGATGCAAAGCAACTACAATTCAGAATTTAAATCTAGATTTCTGCTCATTCAGTCAGGAGAACACATGTACACAAAATTAATGCTATTTTTCAGTCAACAAGAAGCTAGTTAAATTAGACGTGATTAGCATGTATTCGGTAGGGCGTTTGCCTTGTGTGTGGCCAGCCCTGCAGAGCCAGGTTAGATTCCTCCGCCCCTCTCTGAGAGCTCGGAAAGGTACCGAGAGTATCTCACAATGGAGATGTTAGCAAATCCATGAACAACAGGAGGACAGTGCTACAGGACAGAGCTACGGTGCTAGCTTGTGTTACGAATAGTAAAGCACTTTTAACAAGAAAGAAATTTAAAGTCACAAAACTACAACTAGAAATGATAAAGATATGCAAAAGCATCCTGATTTAAAAACTTTGCATGCAGACATTAGGTGAGGTGGGCTTGGGGCTTGGGGTGTGAGTTTCCTCTTTGGGGTTTGGAATGCAAACATGTCCAAATATGTGTTTTTTTCTTTTTTGGTTTTTGGGTCATACCTGGTGGTACTCAGGGATTAGGCAATCATATGTGGTGCCATACCCCTATACTATCTCTGTGCCTCACTCCCCCGCCCCCCGCAAAAAAAACCCCTTTTATTACTTCCACAATGCTTCCTTCTAGGTTTTACTTTATTGAAGAAGATGCACAGCACTGCTAAGTTTGTCTCTTAGTAAGTTCCCGATATCCTCCCTCAGAGACTTTCTTGCTTCTTGGCACATTCTCTCATCATACCACATCTTTTGAGTTCCTTGTCCTAGAGAGTCTTCAAATTCTGAGTGAAGGTGGCAGTGGCCCTGGATATTTCTTATTCTTTCTCTCTCAGGAATGAGTCCCATCCTAAGTCCAACCCTTAGCATGCTTCCCTCACACTGACTCCTGGAAATGAGGGAGGAGTGCAGAAGACTCAGTCTTTGTGAAAATCAAATCCAGAATCTCTTCATTAATTGTATGTATGATGGGAAGACTGGGAGAGGAAAGTCTAATTCACACTTAACATCAGGGCAAAATCCATGCTAGGATGAAGTGCAGACTCAAAGAGTTCCCAAAATTAAAGAGACACCAATAAATCTGATGTGGTTATGTAAAAAGTAAAATGACAACCATTAGAGTATATGGTTTATATGTGCATGCAAATTTCCATGGAACACTCTAATTCTACCTAGTAAATATATTTGCTAGGGCAGTTAATATGATTGCCTGCTTTCATATTATTAAAATTGAAAATATTTAGGTTATTTCTTTTCAACCACATTTCTACTAAGGAGGAGAACCCTGAGTATAAAGAAGATTGCTAAATGTGGACCTGGAAAGCGGGGGCCACAGAACCACATTCGTCAGCATTGTGATCTGAATGAGTCAGTTTCCTTACCAACAAAATGGTGACAGGCTTTCTACTCTCAAGGGTTATGGGGAGAGCACGAATCAAATGTGATGCCCCTCCACTCTGCATGCTGCTAATAAGAATGATGTCACCTATTCAGGCAGTCAGTGTTAATATTTTCAGAGTGCCTTGTGCTCAAGATGCTGTGGATGTGGCCTGAATGAATGAATAACTTCGGAAGACTCTCTGTTCATTGAGAATGTACATCTCATTGAGGGGAGATTAGTAGGATCTACTGATGTCAAATGACAAAAAAATTAGTAAAGCTCCATGTGTGGTGTTTATAAATGACAAACACTATGAAGAAGCATTATGAAATAGGAGTTGAATGACAAAATTTTTTAAAAAAATGATCCACATACTTGCCATCCATCTCGGATCTTCTGATTGAAAATTCCATATTCGTACCGAATGCCATATCCATAGGCTGCAAGTCCCAGGGTTGCCATGGAATCCAGGAAGCAGGCTAAGTTATATGGAGATACACCACAGGCAAAGTCATTAAGGTTAGTCAGAATTTCAAGCTTCTCTCTAAAAAATTATGACTGCCAAGAAGCATTTTTTTGAACCACACCTTTTTTAAAAGCACTCAGTGGGTGTTAACTTTTTAAATATCAACTTTTTCCATTTAAATGATTAACACTAAAATACAAGACATATAAAGAAGAAATCAAACATAATTTATTACCTCACCAGCTATAAAGAACCACTGTGTGCAAGCTGGCACTTGAGAACAGATAAAGAAGCTGACCTATTTGAGAAATGTTTATTACTGCCCTTTCTAAGGGAGCTCTGGTCCAGGTCGCTGTATGAAGACAGCCCGCAGGAGAGTACAACTTATATGTGACCACTTGAGTGTCTCACTGGGCATCTCCTATAGACTATTTCTGCTAAAAGAATTCCTGTGTTGTTCAACTAGGTGGAGGCCGGATACTGTCAGGGGCTGAACTCGGAAGTGAATCATGTTTGATTAGGCCAATCATGGGAACTCTATTTCCTTCATCAGTGACTGGTGTTGTCATGGACATGCAATGACATTCAGTTTAATGAGAGATGCAATAAGTTTTGGGTGCAGAGGCCTTTGGGATAAGAGATATGGGCCAGGGATACAATATGGGTCAATGTGGCAGAGCAAGTGCAAGGTCATGAATTTGATTCCCAGCAAAACATTAACTACCATCATCAAGAGTAGGCCTGTTGCCTCCCAAGCACTGGCAAGAACTACCCAGTTTGAACCTGAAACTGGCCAGCCTACACAGGTTGAGCATTGCCAGGAGTGGCCACTGTGGTCCCCCTTCCCACTGCTTGCTCCCCTGGTTACTGTAAAAAAAATATATGTCCTTGGGGCTGGAGCGATAGCCCAGTGGGTAGGGTGTCTACCTTGCTCACAACCAACTTGGGTTCGATTCCCAGCATCCCATATGGTACCCTGAGCACCGCCAGGAGTAATTCCTGAGTGCATGAGCCAGGAATAACCTCTGCATCGTCAGGTGTGACCCAAAAACAACAACAACAACAACAACAATAACAACAAAAATGTCCTTGCTGCTGTCCTATTTTTCTCAGACAGAAAAGCCAAAATAAAACAGAGCTAGAACCTGAATACTTGGGCTGCTGAATAATCCAATCTTGGAAAGGCCCAACCTCTGCATTTGTTGTTCTGTGGTAGCTTGTGTAAGTCCTTGAGGGTTCATGGGCTTTTGCTAGGTTTTCTGCTACATGTAGCCAAGAGAATCAATGCAAGAGCACCTGATCCAAAGCAACCAATCCCCAGGCTGGGGAGGGATCTAACGTGTAGCTGGTATAAACTTAAGGGTCACACTAATCACATTGTCCTCCTCAGGAATTTGAACTGAGGAGCAAATAGAGATTAAGGAAATGTGCAAGAGGTTCTGAAAGGAAAAAAGAACATGAAAACTTTAGAGTAAGCAGAAAGGTGGGAGTTAGGTTCATCGTAGACCCCTGAAACATATCTGCAAAGGCCAAGTCCAGGCTTCCAATGGACTGGACTATCACTATAGTCTTCCAGGCCCCATGCCATGGGTTTTGTTCTAGCTCCTGTGTAGAGGTGACTATTTATTTTGTCTGGGTCCTGATAAAATTATTATAGATGTTTTTTATTAGGTGCCTCTCCATTAGTGCTCAGAGGCTCAGAGCCACTCCCAACAATACTGAGTGTGGACCTGATGGCTCAGAGCGCAGGCCCGGCAATGGAGTGTGCTCAGGTGAAGTTTTCCGGGGACAAAACTCATGAACACCAGGCACATGCTCCACCCCTGGCCCTCAAATTATTTCTAGAGCCTGCCCAGAACAGGATGTTAATGTTATCTGTCAGGTAAGAGATGAGGTTATTGAGTGAGAATCATTCAGCTCTATTCACACTTCACTCTTTAACTTAGCACCCAAGGTTGTGGTCATTAATGTTGGCATATGAGGGCTAAAGGAGACAACAAATATGGCAGTTCTGGGCTTTACCTAAGGGAGCTGGCTATTGTTCTGAGATGTGCATATCACAGATTTGTTTGACTTTCTTTTACACAGCAAGAATCAAATAATCTGATATTTCACTTCACCAGCTAACAAATACCTGAAGACAGTGTTTTTCTTTGACTAGTGGCCATGTTAAAGCACATTGACACTAAGGATCAAATAATGTGAAACACGTGAAAAAGGGTATCTAGTAACTTGGAAATCCTTGTAAAGTTGATTTTAGAACTGTTTCTGGAAGAGAAGAAACACTTTTCATAGAGTACCACCTGGGCTGGAATGATAGCACAAGCTTGCACGTGGCTGACCCAGGTTTGATTCCTCTGTCCCTCTTGGAGAGCCCAGCAAGCTACCGAGAGTATCCTACCCACACAGCAGAGCCCGGCAAACTACCCATGGCATATTTGATATGCAAAAAAACAGTAACAACAAGTCTCACTTGGTGTTCCTGGAGCGAGCAGATGTCATTGGCTACACTAGCACGAGACAGGGACAAATGGAGACATTACTGGTGCCCACTAAAGCACATCGATGAACAATTAGACGACAGTGCTACAGTGCTACAATGTACCACCTGATAAATATATATATGTGAGTACATTTTTATTATGGTATTTAAATTTTGCAAGTAAGACACAATACCTTGCCCTTCTAAAAAAATGCAAAAACATTAGAGACAGGGTTAATATCTCCTTCTATGGCCATCCCCAATTCTGTACATTTCTCTAGGGAAGATCACCAAGGGGAGTAGTAGTATCCCACATTCCAGACATTTTTGTGGGTTTATTTATGTACATACAGAAAATATTGATTTTGGGGGCCTCCCAAGCAATGCTCATGAGCCCAGAGACCACTCCCAGCAATATTTGGCCAACTGGGTGGGACTGTCCAGTGTCCAGGCCAGTGATGCGATGCTGCTCCAGCCCAGCAGTTCTGGGGGCCACAAGGAATACACCTAGTAGTACTGGGAGTCGTGGGGGAAACATGTGTTTCCAGGGGTCTGACTTGGTGCCTCCTATCAGCCTTTTGAGCTATCTTTCCAACCTTCATAAAATATAATAATTTTTGAAATATGTGTAAATAGTATCATATTGAATGTTTTTTTTTTGTTGTTACTGTTATTGGTCTTTGGTTTGGTTTTTTGGCCACACCCTCTGGCGCTCAGGGCTTACTTCTGGCTCTGCACTCAGGGCTTGGAAGACTGTACTGCTATCTCTATCTCTCTGGACCCTGAATGTATTTTTAATGTAACTTGTTTCTTAATATTTGTTTTTTGTTTCCCTGTGGAAGGTTACTTAGAGAAGTACAGATGGATCAATTTTATTCTTTCCAGCTGCTACACATTATTCTATAGTATGGATATTCCACAACCTATTTACTTAGTCTCTTATCAATGAACAGCAGAACATTATTTTGCCTCTATAATTAATACTGCAACAATTATTTTTCCCTCACATGCTTCCTTATACACATGTTTAAGTGTTGCCTTGAGGGTCTCTATCAGGAAGTAGAACTGCTTGGTCACAAAGATGCATATTTCTAGTTTAATGAAATTTGTATTATATATATATTTGGATTACTCTTGGATTTTTGGATTTTTTTTATTATATTTTGGATTATTCACGCCCAGCAGTACTCAGGCTTACTACTGCTTTTACACTCAGAGATCACTCTTGGAGGTGCCAAGGACTGAACTTGGGTTGGCTGTGTGCAAGGCCAGCACCTTATCCACTACTGTCTCCAACTATTATTATGTTTTTAGTGCTTTCCTCTATATTTACTAAAAAGTAATTTCCTAGATAAGGCAAAGAACTCAGATTGCATCCAAACAATAATAGCTATTAATGAACAAAATCATACCTATAATAAATACATGTGTATCACTACCTCAAACCTATCACAAAGCAAGTTGTCAAGTGCACCAGGTAAGACAATGGTCAACTAACTCATGTTACACCACACAGCACACATTGAGCAGCTCTAAACAAACAGCAGTGAAGAGAAAGGGCCACTGCGGAAACCTTAAGTACACAGGAAGGATCTGCTTAAGTGGGCTTTAAGCAATGCTTCTCTTGTTCAAGTTCCTTTTTTTTTTATTCTTTCTTCAGAACTGATCAAGCCACAATGCAAACTCAAAACCAAGTTATAATCAGGTCACACACAGCACTCTGACTGGCAAGTTCATCTGGATTTTCTAGGCATGGTGTGTGTGGAATCTGAGAAGGCATCCTTGGTGAGGGAATGGAGCACGCTCACAATGCCACTTACCAGCAAGCCTCCCAAGACCACCATTGCCAAGCCCAGCGTCTTCTTCAATTTCTTCTAACTCTTCGATGTCCAGTCCAAGCTGGTGATGAAAGAAAATAACATTCAATAGGGATACCTATGTGGCCACTTAGGGGAACACGGGTACTTCCTGAAGCTCTGGCCCCAGTTTTATTTGGGTACTGGATCCTATCAGCCTCTCTGCAGTTTGGTTCTGCTTCCATTGTCCATTACAGAGGCTAGTGACTACAGACTGTAGGAGATGGCACAGCTGAAACTTGGAAAAGGACGTGGGCTCCAAATGTCCATTATAGACTTTTACGTCTTAGTTATAGGATCCTGGGCAAGCTACTAAATATCTTCATATCTCATCTCTTGCACTTAAATAATAAAGCATAACTGTATGTACATCACTTAAGGTTGCTTTGTGGTAAAAGAGATTATATAAACAAAGCTATTAGAATTATTCCTGGTCAGACATTCCTTAGGAAGTGTTAGTTATTACCATTTTAAACATTATTTTTATGCTGTTGTGGCAAAACCTCAGAAATTGTTTAGTCCCAAGTGAACACTAACTGGGCTGAAAGATTTTAAAAATTACAAAAAGTGTACGGTCAGACTTTCTGGGATGGACTAAAGTTCATCTTTTTTTTTATGAACAGAACATATTTACTCAGAAGGGTCAATGGTTACTAACCCCTAATCAGTTAGTGAGTCACTGCCCATGAGACTTGCAGCCAGATAGCAGGAATGAACAGGGACACCTTAGCCCTGGGCTTGCTGGATAGGGTTAAAATTCTCCACTTCTCCGACATAGGAAAGAACACAGGAGCACAGGTGGAGAATGGCATCTGTGATCATGGGGTTGAACGAGATTTGTTTCCAGCCAGCTCCCCTGTCACCCCAGCACAGCATCAACTCAGGTCAGCATTCTGCAGCCTGAAGCTCACTTTGTTTTTTTACAAAGAGGAAGTTGATGACCAGATAAATGAAATGGCCTGTCCTATGTTGACCAGATAATAATCTAGTCCATACTTGGTTAACAATGGTCAGTTGCGAAATGACTCCTGTATGATATGAGAGTGATGCAATCTATGAAATCATATATCATTAAAGATGGAAGCATATTTTACATATTTGAAAACATATGCATAACTGTGTTTGAAGCTGACGGCCCAATTTCTATGAAATCACTTATTTGGATCTCTACTTTAGACCAATAGATGCTTTCTCATACAAGTCTGGAGAACTAAATCTTCTAGGACTTCAACAATGAACTAGTTCTGTACACAATTTTCAGATTTGCTCCCTGTGACTTGTCTTTACTGGGGTCCTTGTGCAAATCAACTGCTAACGCTAATATTTACTATTAAAAAAATTAAAAGTCTGGAAATAAACTCTGAACAAGTATTCCTGGATCTCTTTAATCTACCTCATTAATTGATAATCCAGAGCATAGCAATTTTCAGCTGATATTGGGGGAAATAGGAGAGTAGAGAGAAGTGGCAGTGGTTTTCCCATAGAAAACAAAAAGTTAGCTTCTGTCAAGGAAACAAGTTCTCAGTGACAAGCAGCTGGCAACAATCCCACACTAAGAAAGGTGAGCAGGGAGGATAGTGTCCTATTTAGAATATGTCTTTGCAAATACCCATTTGTCTTTCTTTGGAATGAAAATACCTAAAGTTTATGGGAAGAAATAGTTAAATATGTTAAATAGTATTTATTATGTTAAATAGTTAAATAGTATGTATGTAAATAGCTAAATATGTTAAGAAATAGTTAAATATGTTCTTAAAAACAAATATACAGAGACAGATTTCTCATTCAAGGAGGAAATGTTTTTATTTCTCTTTAAGCAATAAAGATCATAGAATGATGGAATTTTAAAAGTTTATTATCTTTACAAATAGAACTTATACAAATTTATACAAATAGAACTCAAACTTGGATGACTTGGAAAAAGGAGACAGAAGCCCCAAGTAAACGTTGTGATTCTGATTGAACTGGAAATGTAAGAGGTGAGAATGAGAGAGCAACAGAAACAATGTACCTGGTAAATGGCCTCATCACAGGCATTCTGTAGGCCAAGGTTGATCATGGTGTTCTGTAATGCTCGACCCATGTAAAATTCCAAAGAGAGGTAATAAACCCTCTGAAACAAGGAAAGAAGAAGTCAGGCCAAATCTGAATCCAATTTTACTTAGCACAAAAACACAAGGTCACCAACACAAAGCATGCAAGTGGGCTTACTTTAACACAAGTTCCAATGTGATTCTTATAGAAGTATCAATGGCTAAATAAAAGTACTACTGACAACTGGCACTAGGACAACCATTTTATACCATATTTTGGGGGAAGCGGAGTTTATTTTAGCTCCAGGGGAGGTGGGGTGGTGGTATGGGGGATAAGGGAGAAGCATTCATCCATCCAATTAGAGTTAATATTTTGTTTTTCACTTCCTGCTTATAAATTTCATAAATCAGGTATATGATTTGGACAAAGTCAGAGTGTCATAGCTCATAATTCTTTTGTAAAATGTTACAGAATGTTGTGGTGGCTGTGACCCTCTCATGTCCGTCAATAAGTACAAGGACCCACTTTCTTAGAATATTCTTAATGACTAGAAATTATTCCTCCTGACTCATAATATTACAATTGTGTTAGAGTTAAAATTATTCTAGCAAATTTTTGAATTAGCAATAACAAAAGGCTATGTGAAATTTACAGGTGAATGGGAAATTCTCTGTCAACTTAAAAACTGTGTTCCTTGGACGCAGTAAAAGCCAGGTAAACACAAGAGTTGAAATGAGCAGTGCAAAGATCAGGTTGCCTAAAACTTTTAAAAAGACAAGTACTGTTAACTAAAAAATTAAAATAAAAATAAACCAAAACCCAGGATCAGTGAGTAATGTTATTATTTCCTTTCACAATATCTTAGCTTCCTTACCAGCTCTTGCTCCCTCCCATGAACACGAAACAATTAAAATCTCTAAATGCTCAAAATAAACTCAAGTTTTAGGGAATCTCCTATTTCTCAAAGGAAAAGAAGAAATCAAAAAGAATTTGATAAGGGGCTCGAGCGATAGTACAGCAAGTAGGGCGTCTGCTTGCATGTGGCCGACCTGGGTTCAATTCCCAGCATCCCATATAGTGCCCTGAGCACCGCCAGGAGTAATTCCTGAGTGCAAAGCCAGGAATAACCCCTGTGTATCATCAGGTGTTACCCAAAAAGCCAAAAAAAATTGATTAAGTCTAAAATATAATAATTAACATAGTTTAATACATTAAATATATATAAGACTAACTATTAGATATATAAATATACTTGAAATATATGAAAATGTTTATTGAGAAATTTTAGTATTTTTATAAAACAATGATTTTTAAGTTTTCACACAGCGCGTCAACATCTGTATCTTAGTGGGTTACTGAGCACTATTTTCCAAAACACCTCATTATGACTTTGATTCAAATAATTTAGATACTTATTGATTTACTGGGCCATATCCAGCAGTGTCCAAGACTTAAATCTGTTGTGAAGTGAAGGTCTGAGCTCAGGGATCACTCCTGGTCAGTGCTAGTGGTGGAGTGGGAGGATCATATATCATACCTGATCGAATAGCTTAAATATCTAGAGGCTATTGTTAGGGCCCTCATCAGTTTATCAGCTACTTTGTGTGAGTTGGAAAAAAATCTCCTTCAAGAGGCAGATACACGTCAAAGAGATGCATGATGCTCCTCAAACCCTTGGCGGGCCCCTGTAAGAAGGATGCAATATTACAGGAAGGAGAAGCTCAAGTCACAAACACCCATTTGTATAATATCAGGGCCATTTTTTTCATTCTTTTCTATGTATATTTTTAGGATCTCTGTAATATGGACAGTACACACTGATTTTTTACTTTTTAGTGATCTATAAGAAGCTTGGTTGCAATAACAGCATATATAGATATACATATGTGCACGCAGCATATGTGTAGATAGACACACAGTTCTTGCTGCTGTGAAGAATTGCTTACACTCAGGAATAATGACTTTATCTGTTAAATGTGTTGACCATCTATTTAGTGATTCCAAATTACCATCGACTTAAGACATTTTAGGGCATTTCAAAGTTGTTAAGAAACGCTGTTGCTCAGAATTAAGCAATACAGAATACCGGTCACATGACAGACTTTATAAGAACAGGCGTTTAAGGCAATTTCCTATTTTTTCATAAATAACCTTTTAAAAAAATGTGTGGGAACTTTACTTATATTGGGAGGATAGAGAAAGACCTTGATCAATCGCCCTACCTATTCTTTTAGTAGTCTCTGAGAAAAAAAATTCAAGCATTTTTAATGCACTTTATAAATTATATATGGGCTGGAGCGATAGCACAGCGGTAGGGCATTTGCTTTACAAATGGCCAACATGACCGACCCGAGTTCGATTCCTCCGCCCCTCTCGGAGAGCCCGGCAAGCTACCGAGAGTATTCGATATGCCAGACACAGTAACAACAAAGTCTCCAATGGAGACGTTACTGGGCCCGCTCGAGCAAATCGATGATCAACGGGAGGGCCTTTACTTTACTTTACTTATAAATTATATGTACAAACAACTAATATTTCCTTCAAAAGTGAACATCTTTAAAGACTTAAAATAGAGATTTTAAAAAAACAATGTTTAGAAGATAATTGTAGCACTACTCAAGGACAAAGTAGCACTGTAGCACAGTAGCACTGTCCTCCCTTGTTCATCGGGCCCAGTAACATCTCCATTGTGAGACTTGTTGTTACTGTGTTTGGCATACACACCGACTTGGGCGATCCGGGTTCAATTCCTTCACCCCTCTCAGAGAGCCTGGAAGCTACTGAGAGTATCTCGCCCACATGGCAAAGGAAAATGCGTGGCAACCTCCTGCAAGAGGTGGTTCTTACAGGACAGGCGGGAGAAGAGCTCAGTGACTGTAGGGGAAGAACTCCCAGGGCAAGCACAGAGGGATGGACAGACCAGCACCTTGGTTTTGAGGGACAATAAGGCAAATAACAGGAGATGAGATGGGAAGGACTGGTTTACTTGGGCTAAGGAGGGCCTGCAGAGCCTGAAAACTGTTATTATTGGCAGCAAAGGGGCATATAAAAACAAAGCATAGTTGGCTGAAAACTCTAGGCCTCCAGGACAGCAGAGAAAGAAAATTTGTACTGGAGGTCACATAAAACAACAAGGAGTATTGGCAAGTTCATGGCATGCCCCGGAGCATTTATTTTGCTGGCCAAATTAAGCATGTCTACTAGTTGTCTGTGGCAGGAAGCAGGTAATAACTAAGCAATGTATTCAGAGACCAGGAGTTCACTGAGGCCAAGAGGCGAGAATGGTGGCAAGTGGGTAATTTGGAGGAAAACTGCAGAGGCTGGAGTGATAGCACAGCGGGTAGGGCATTTGCCTTGCACGCAGCTGACCCAGGTTCAATTCCCAGCATCCCATATGGTCACCCGAGCACTGCCAGGAGTAATTCCTGAGTGCAGAGTCAGGAGTATCCCCTATACATCGCCAGGTGTGACCCAAAAAGCAAAACAAAACAAAACAAAACAACAACAACAACAACAACAAACCCAAAAAACCCTGCAGAAACCAGCAGAAGGTGACAACCTGTTGAATGGGGAACACAGGAGGAAGGTGAGGCAAATTTTGCTCTGGGTAACTGTCATGCCATTGATTTCGCAGCAACTGGAGAAGGCAGGCTTGGGAGAGAATGATTTGAATTTGAGGTAAAAGGGAGAGGTCTAGATGCACTCATAAAGCACTGAGAAGAGTGGGAACGGAGTTTGAGAAAGACTTCAGATGGAGATCCAGACTAGGAATTCATTGGCAGTTTTACTAGAGTGCTGGGGTGGAGGGGCCCGGAAGTGGGAGAGAAGCTTAAACACTCTGCTGGTTCTGCAGTCTTCCCAGAATGTCAAGGTCAGAGTATCTGGTTTATTTACTCAAGTATTCAAGGAGAAATGGTGGGCCCAGCAAAGGTACATGCTAGGGACCCAAGAAAATCACTACAGACCTGACAAACCACCAGAGGGAAAAACACGAAAAACCATGGTGCTAAAGTGTTAGAGGGGGAGAATGGCTGGGAATGGGGGTGTGGTTCTAAAATATGGCTCTATATCTCTTTCTCCAACTCAAAAGTTTAAAAATTAAAATTTTATGTCAGGGGCAATCTGGTGTGCTTAGTAGCTTCCGCTCTGGACAAATGAAGATTCAGTAAATACGCAGAGGCACAGAGTGTTCTCTAAGGCCAAATAGTTGTTACTTTGAGCCTGACACATTGCAGATAAGGAGCTTGCCTTGCATGTGCTCTACGTGACCTGCCAGATTTGATCCCCAGCACCACTTATGGTCCTCTGAGCCTTTCTAGGTATGATTCCTGAGTGCAGAGCCAGAGTGTGGCCCAACCCCCACGCTGAGAAAAAAATAGCTGCTCCCTTTCTTGGAGCCCTAGGCCATGGCATTACTCTCCATGGAAAAGCTTTGTTGACGCTGCAGTTTTTCACTATGAGAAGTGGGTTTTTTTTTTTTTTTTTTTGCGTTCTGGGTGTCTGCACTATTCTCTGCGTTGTTCCATATTAAGAAAGCTTCTTGTAGCATGCATCTCCCATCCTGGATGGATCTTCCCAGCACCCTTTATTTGGTGCTCCCTTCTCTATCTGAGCTGCCTTTACCCCTAGAGTGTGCGGCTGGCCTTGAAGCCATGGAGTGAACCTCCTGAAAGTAGACTATAGACTGAACATGATTGCCATCCAATGCCTCTTCTGCAAACCACAGCACCCAAAAGGAGAGAGAGAACAAAAGGGAGTGCCCTGCCAGAGAGGCAGGGTGGTATGGGGGTAGGGGGTGTGTGGGAGGGATACTGGGATTGGTGGGGGTGGAGAATGGGCACTGGTGGTGGGATGGGTACTCGATCATTGTATAAGTGAAACCCAAGCACAAAAACTTGTAAGTCTACAACTGTATCTCATGGTGTTTCACTAAAAAAAAAAAAAAAAAAAAAAAAAAAAAAAGCTTCTTGCATTTACACGCCACCTCCGTGATCTCCAACAACCCGCCTTTCCAGTTTCCTCTCCCAAGAGAGGCTCCTACCCTCCTCCAGCCAGGGGGCCTCTCCCCCTAAACCCTCACCCAGAGCACAACACACTCCCTCTGCCAGGGCCTCTCAGTCCTCCTCCCCACCCCACTTTCCCACACCTGCAAAGCGCTGACAGCTTTTCTCTGTTTGCCCCAAGAACCCTGGGGCACTCTCTCCCAGGCGCTCTGCTGAGGGGCTGGGTCAGATGGTGGAAGCACAGCTTTCCTCTGCAGCAACCTGGGGGTATGGCTGAGTGTCCAGCACCTACTGGGGCTTATGGGCCTCCAATTCTGCAAGCCTGGAGCTGGTCCAACTAGGAGCCACTCAGGTTCCCCCACCCCAGCCCCCCACTCCTCTGTGAAGCTCCAGAGTACCACCAAGTTCTTTCCTGCACCATCCCCTCCATCCCCTCCACTCTGTGACTTCCATACTATCTGCAGATCTGCATATGCCAGGTTACACCCAGGCTGGACTTTTCGTGTTCCTTCCTTAGTGTCCAGGCGCCTAGGGCGCTGGTGGAGCAAGTACACAGCAAGAGGAGGCCACCCCCCCACCCCCCCGCCTGCCCCATTAAAGGCCAGCGGAGCCCTGCTGCTTACAAGAACCTGAAAGGAGTCTCTTGCGGACACGGGCAAGGGAGACAGGGTGGTCCCGGAGCACCAGCCTGCACTGAAGTTTAGGGCTGGGTGTCAGGGAACAGGCATGGCTCACCCGCCCTCTAGGCACGTTTCTGTCTCCCTGGACTTGATAGGGGTGCGCTTCCCCACTATTTCCCACTAGACACTAGAGCCGGGACAGGAGGGCCCTCCTTGGCCCGGCCGCCTCCGTCGCCGCCGCCCCCCGACGGGTGAGGACCCTTGGAGGGGGGTCCCCTGAAAGCGCGGCTGGAGGGCGGCCCGGGGGTTCTCGGGGACGCACAGAGAGATGCCGTCGCGCCCGGGCCGGGTACCTTGGGGCACTTTTCGTAGTAATGCTGCTGCGTGCGGATCCAGCGCCCCACCAGGTGGTCGCGCACCGTGTGCGCCAGCGCGAAGTAGTAGTCGCGGGGGGTGGCCACGTTGCGGTCCTTGACCAAAGTGAAGTGCAGGTGCCGGTTGAACCCCTTTTTCAGCTCGGCCACGTTCTCCACTCCCACGATGCCGCGGATGCTGATCTGCCGCCGCTTCTCCTGGTCGGTCACGGGCTTGGCCATGTCGGCTGGCGGGACGGGGCCGACGGGCAAGCGGGACGAGCGAGCGGGACGAACGCGCACGGACCGGACGGAGCGACGGACGAGCGCGCGGGACGCACGGACGGGACGAGCTGCACGGGCCGAACAGCCTGCCCGAAGGACCTGGCTGCAGGACGGGGCGGAGCCGCGCCCCGAGTCCTGGCCTTCGGAGGAAAGTTGGGGCTCCGCCCTCCCCTGCCTCCACCCCCCCAAGCACGGCGCCACCCCCTCTACCGCTCTCGGCTCACGGGACCGCGGGGGCCCGGCGGGTGGGAGCGGCCGCGGGACGCAGCGGGGCGGGCGGGTGGAGGTGGGGTTCGGCACGTAGACACTCAGAGGCTCCTTTCCGGGGCCGCAAGATCGGCGCAAGCAGGATTTGTCTTCCTCCGCACTCTCGATTCTGGGGGGGCACGAAGGATGTCCGGGTGTGGACAGGTGCTGATAGGAAACCTAGGCTTCGCGACGGCTTGTGGGGGCTTTCTCTGCTATCCCCAGGCGTCTTGCAAAAGGTTAGAAAGTTTTGACTTGTCCCCCTCACCTTGTCAGTCCTTGGCTGTGCCTAATCTTGGACCCAGACCTCAAAATAAAACCTAGGACTCTTCCTTTGCATTTATTTATTTAGTTAGTTTTCTAAGCCACACCCGGAGGTGCCCCGGGACTTACTCCTGGCTCTGTGCTTAGGGATCACCCCTGGCAGGATTTTGAAGGACCATATGGGGTCCTAGGGATTGAACCCTGGTCAGCCGCAACAAGGCAAGCACCCTGACCCGCTGTATCCATTGCTCCCACCCTCCTTTAGATTTTGAGGACTCGGGGATTTGGGCTCCTTAAACCCTAGGCTCACCAAGTTCAGAGCACCCTATTAGGTCAGGAAGATCTGAGTTGGCTCTTCAGAGGGATTAAGTGTGTGGGGGAGGGACTTTCACTTGGGGCCTCAGGTCTGAAGGAGCTTCTATTTTAAAATGTGGAGGGGCTGTGTAGAGAAGGGTCTGTGTGTGGGAAAGGGGAGCGCTGCTTACAGAGCTAGTTGCCTTGTTTACAGGGAACAAAGCAGCCTGTGTTCATCTGCAGTACAGGATGATCTTTGTACAGCTCACCTCCAGGTTTGGGGGCATTTATTTGAATGTGTGTGTGTAAACATTGGCAAAGGCAAACATGATATTTTAGGAAGTCAGAGGCCTTTTCTTCTTTAGCAAAGTAGCACTAATGTATTATTTTAGAATCAGTCCATTGTCAGAATTGAGTTTTCCCAAAAAAATCACAGCACAGCTGGTTAATAGACTACTTTGAATAAGAAGCAAAAGAAGTGTATTTGGAGTTGTTGCATTGGTGCCAGAGGATTATTGGACTCTAGTGAAATACAGCCTTCACCTTACATGGAAGTACAATTATCAGAGTTCTGAACAATATCTAACTTTTCATTCTCTCAACATCAGGCCCTGTTCTTTGGGCCAGAGTTGAGATTGACATATGCGGGCCCTGCGATACTGATGTGCCCATATGGAAGTAGTGATGGGAGACAGTAAGGGAGGGTTTGAGAACCTGAATGAAGACAGAAATATCCAGATTTAGAGGCAGAGGGGAGCCACTCCAGAATGATATTAAAAATAACCAATTCTATGAGTTGCAGAGCTAATAGAAAGGGTAAGGTGTTTGCCTTGCATGTAGCTAACATAGTCTGATCTCTGGCACTGCAACTGGCTCTCTGACCTCTGCTAGGAGAAATCTCTAAGCACAAGGTCAAGAAAACATTTGAGAAGAGGCTGAGAAGGAAATTCCCTTGATGAATCAGAAAAAAAATGTGCTTTAAAAAAAGAAAATCAGCTTCAAAAGCTTTGTGCTTTGCATGCAGGAGATCTGGGTTCCAATCTCTGGCAATATATGGTCCCCTCAGTACCACCTGTAGTGACACCCAAGCACCACAAAGTGTGGCCCACTGCTGGCACCGCTCTTCCTCACCCCAGGTAATGCATAGCACCCTGGACACAACTAGGAGTGACCCCTCTGGGTATAGTTCCTGAGCACTGCAGGATGTGGCCCCCAAACCAAAACAAAATCAACTTTGCATACCACTAGGACCATCACTGCATAAGCCATTTCACCTGCTGATGTGAAACAGTCCCATCAGTTTGACAGCTTGATGGAAGAAAGGGCGGAGCAGTGGCATGAGGGGAAGCAAGGGCTGAGTAAACCTTATTCCCTCAAGCCACGATAAGCAAATTAAAAGCTAGACATTTGGGTGGGGAGTGAGGAATTAGAGAGTCCAAAGGAAGACATGGGAGACACCAAAGCCGAATGGACTGTTTCTTCGTTTTGGCTAAAATAGTTTGAAATTGGTGGACTTTAGTCCCTCTGTCGACTTAGATATATTAAATTATTGTTGAAAACCCAAGATATTGAACTAATAAACAGACCAAGTGCTTGATTCAGTGTCCAACTGGGAGCCCTCACCCCTGAGTTGAGTATCACACAAAGGGAAAAAAATTGAAGCCCATTCAGATTGTTGAAACTGTAGAAGATGGGTGGGTGGGAGTGCAAACCCATGCGAAAGATCCTATCGATCAGTGGACTTCCCCCTGAATTCACTGGCCTGTGATAGTGTGAAAAGGTTAAGGAATGCTGACTTTGACCTCTAGGATGTTCCAGAAGGGGCACTGAGGAAATCATGTAAATGGGGAGCCACTGCAAGTAGGGGGCCAACTGGTAAGATGGGGAATCACAGGAAGGTAAGAAGATGGAAAAGAACCACAGCTGGAGAAAGTCTGAGAAAAACTGCTTTAGATGATTTGAAAATGCTCCGTAGATCCAGTCTTAAATGACACAGCCTCATGTTGTCATACAGTCTATCTGTTTGCAAATCTGTTTGGGTCTTTCTGGAACACCTCTGTTATTTAGTATGTCCTTAACATGGATTTATCTGTATCTTTTTTTTTTTAAAGGGATGCAGCATACCTGGAAGTGCTTATGTTCTGCACTCAGGGGTCACTCCTTGCAGGGCTCTGGAGACTGTATGGGGTGCTGAGGATCAAACTTGCATTAGCTGCATGTAAGGCAAGAGCCATACCCACTAGACTCTCATTCTGGCCCAGATTTATCTGTGCGTTTTAACAGAAAATCATTCCAGACTCTGCAGCTTCAGCTGTTGTAGCTCAATAAAATTTAATAGCAGCTTTTCCATTTATGGCAGATGGTACTTTGCTAGCTAACATTCTGATGAACATTCTTTACATTTTGAATTTGAAGTGCTACAAATATTTGCATAGAGAAAGAACTGAACTAAGTTGCTCACATGTGCTTGTGCAAGCATATCTTGTCTCACTCCTGCTTCCCTTGGGCTGTGATGATGCAACTGTACTTTGTGAATCACTGAGTACGCACGCTGCCCAGGCCTCCCAGGGCTAGTGTAAGCTGTCAGAACAGAGCCCTGGCAAATGCCTTCACCTTGGCCTTCAGAGGAGCAGATGCCAAGGCAGGATCAATCATGCCAGCAGTTGATTAGTGTGCGAGCATCAGATTGTATGATGCAAGTCTGACCCTCATGGAAGGAAGGGGGTATAATGGAGGGATCCCCCACCCGGACCCCATGACACCAATTCCCAACAGGATCCTGTAAGGCCACTGGGAGAGGAGTCCCCTCCCTTTTAGTCAGTGGGGAAGTAGGGCTAGGGAAGGAAGGGAGTGCAAGCCTCCCTGCTCAGTTCTTTCTGCAGTTGGAAGGAAGTTCTGTTACCTCCATAAGATTAGGTCAACACAGGGAGGGTATAGACAAAGTTACTCAAAGGAGGGTTTATTGTGTTAGCATCCCACCTTCAGATTTTTCAGCACTGCACCCAGCATTTTCCAGGGTCTCTGGCCATGTTTTGAATGTGCTCTCCCTTCATGTGATCCCTTCCTGTGAGGCAAGCTTTATTCTTCCCTTTTTAGAAAGGAAGAAACTGAGGCTGAGAGAAGTAGTTAAGATAGTTTGATTTTTTTGTTTGTGTGTTTGATTTTTTTCTGTTAAGATCACTTGTTCAAGGACCGGAATTGTAGCATTTGAGGCCTTTGGGACATCTCCAAACTCTACAATACTACCATCCCAGTAGGAGCACCCGGGATTCAATGGGGAATGCAACATAGAAGCCAAATACGCTTGATTAACAAAAGCATTAACACAGAAGTCTCAACTAGCAACAGCAGCTTAGTAAAACCTCAGACAAGGACTTAGTGGTCCCAATATGAGATACAACAATTTTCTCTCTCTCTCTCTCTCTCTCTCTCTCTCTCTCTCTCTCTCTCTCTCTCACACACACACACACACACACACACACACACACACACACACACACACACGTGCTTGATCGCATGCTTTGAGTTGGATCCACCCACCTACCGGGCCCCAGCACTGTCAGGAGTGGCCTCCAAACAAAGAAAGAATCACTTAACAAGCCAGTGACTGGAGAGGTTTTCAGATCTGGGCCTGGTTTTTACTCCTCTGACAGGGGGTTGGGGACCTATGAAGTAAACCTGAATTCTGCCTGCCCCTCAGCTGATTCATGTTCCCAAACCACAAACCAAACGTGGTTTGTTTTGGACTGTTCTCTGGCCTTTTGACCTATTTCATGTCAGGTCTGAAACCCAGGGAAATGCCAGAGGTCAAAAGAAGCCCCATAGCAGGCCATTTGCTCTCTGGAGATGGGCAGAGTGGAAACTGTGCAGAGTCTGAGGTGCAGTCTGAAATCCATTTCACTCAGTGTATGGAATGTCCCAATCTGCCAAGCAAGGTGATTTCCTACACTCGGCTATGTTAAATGCTTAGTGTGATAACTGAGGGCTGAGCTTCTTGGACACCACTCAGTGCCCTTAGAAGCTTCAGACAGAACAGCTGGCCAGGCTGCCATCTCTAGCAGTAATTGACTGTGACTGTGACCATTCACTTTTATCTGAGTAAATTGGACCTGTCTTTTAATTTTTTTTTAACTAAAGTCTTTTTATTGCTTGAGGAACTGTGATTACAATACTGTTAATGATGACTATCCATGTACATGGTTATAATCCCATCACCAGTGTGACCACCTCCCTTCCCCCAGGTCCACATTGCCTCTCCCTCACCATACAAACTCTATTTTTATAATTTCATTTTCCCTTTTTAATTGAATAAC